AGCGGTCATCGATTGACTCCTCGTATCGATAAGAACGAGGTCATGAAACGCATTTACCCGAAGCTCCGTGTATTACATCTGTATTTTCTTGAGGCGGGTTTGTCCCAGTATTCATACGGCATTCGTCGCGATTGCGTTTAAATATCCATTATTATTCCTTCATCGGGTTCGATTCTTTCCTCCAAAGTTACACTCGTTGCTCTTAAATTATTCGACCTGCGTAGAAATTCAGGAATCATGCAGCACAGGTAAAGTTCGAGAAAAAGAAAATGTCGAATTACGTGCTTAATATTTCTTAATTTTTCATTTCTTTATTGTTATCGATTACCGGTTGCCGTTCAATGATAACGCCAAATTCCTTTAAACTAGTACAAGTATAGATCATAACGGGATAAATACAGTGATAACGAGTACACAGGAACGATAACATATTTATATCGTAACATATACGCAACGTATTACAATTGCATGCGTTTTCTGCAAAAAAAATACGAATAGATTAGATTAGATAATACACATACCATTTTTCCGATGTTTGTTAAAGCTAACTTGGTATTTCCCATGTCACGAAAAATGCATTTCTTCATTTTTTTTTCCTTTCCATCATTCATAATTCTTCTTTCTCTCTTAATCCTACAAATCGTATATATGTCATTTAAAACAGGTAATTGAATGAATATTATAATTAGTTAAAAATGATATAAGGTATTACAATTTCTTCATACACGGGAATCTCAAATATTCCATAGGAAAATTGAAATGCCGTAATGGCAAGTGAAATAGAATTCTCCTCAATTCATTTTACTCGCTGGTGCATTTATTTTCTAAACATTTTTCAAACCTTTCGAATATCGATCACGTTTGTTACAATCGCCTTGAAGGGTCTCTTAGAGCTAAAAGGAAGAAAAGTGTTATTGCAAAGAAAATGTTAGATCTACTCGAGTGGCTAATGTATTTTTCATTGTACCTTACCTGGATTTATTGGCGTATCAGTGACGAATGAAAGAGCGGTGACGAGGAGGTAGGAGAAGTAGCGTATAGCCGATGATAAACGAAGGTGGACACTGTTAAGTCGTTCTTGAGTGGTGGCCGTAGGTGAACCGATCCTCCGGCGTGTCTCGATCTTCCCGGTGAACGTATAAATCGTGGCGGAGTCAGTGTGCAAATTGTACGATCGTTAAAACGAAATAACGGAATCAGAAGTGACGCCAAGCTGCTCTAGCATCTGGTGGCTCGTTGATCCTCGATGATCGCCTGTGACGCTTGCCAATTTATCAATCGGAACGATTAAATGAAACTACACTCACGATCGTTCCAGGAAAAGATCCACGATCGAGATTGTGTTGAAAAAAGCTCGTCCATCGATGGATAACATCGGTCTTACAAATCGTGGATATATCAAATTAATGGTGTACTAGATGGAAAAAAATTTCCAAGAGTTTCATTATCGTAATGTTTCGAAGTACGAGTGGTCCGGTTTTGCGAGTGGAATGGTACCTGTAAAAGTCGATAATACGTAACGTCCAATTAACAATTCATGGCCCGATAAGAAACGAAGAGCAACGCGACGTATTTTAAAAACTCGAGGCTACTGGAGTTTCCTGCTTTTTGGCCGCTGGTCACAAATATTTTCCACGGGGAAAGGTCGAGACTAAAAATAAGTCGCGAGTGGGGAAACGGATGTCGAGAGATCGGAGTTCGGACAACGAGACCAAAATCTCGTTTCGCCTCGAGCGCGAGGAACTCGCGGTTCCATATACGATTTAATCGTTCCTTTTCTCACGTGCTTCAACTCGGCTAACGAAACCTGGAAAAACGGAAAGTTTCACGGTGGTGAGACATGTAAACGATACGAACGAATCGCGCGAATATCTTTATTTTCGATCGAATGTAACGATATTTCGATAACGGCTAATCTTACATCGATAAGGAAGTACCTCGGAGCAGGATTTTTGCTAAATAACATGTGAATGATCCATAAATATTTTTATTTCGTTCTCCTTTTTTCCTCTTGTCAACTTAATTGAAAAACTCGAGACTTTTTAATCTAGATTAGCTTATACAAGGTGTTTCTTTTAACTTATAATCCTTTCCATTAATTGGACACATATATATCTGAAAATCAAACTTTTCATCAGAGACAAATAGTTTTATAAACGTGCCAATATTTAAAAAGAGTACCATTTCGTTTTAAATATTTTTTACAAATTATTTTTTTAATTTAATGTTATAGAAAATTGTAGAATGATAAACTTTGTTTATCTTTTGAAACATAACCTCGAACAAAATTTTCGTAAGCATAACGCTTTTCCTTTTAACGATGAATCGGAGTATCCTGTGTAATTACTTTCTTAACGATCTCTTTCCAACCATTTTTCCCGTCGTGTTCTCTGACGAAAGAATATGTATTCTCAGAAGTATCCGCAATGGCAATGACCGCGATTTGCAGCTCGCGTTTATGGAATGGCAACGAGCCGCTGATTAATCGGTGCAGTTTTCGAGCAGGTCACGTATATTCGACCTTGAAGCTTCTTCCTTTGACCGCGCGAGTCGCATCGATCGACCATTTCCTCTCGCAGCAATCATCGACTCGAAACGTTTCCATTTTAGGAATAGATAGATAGAAATGTGAAACACGTTACGAAAGAATCCGCGTGAAAACGTGTCACGCGGGAATTCGAGGCAATTAGTCTTTCCTTTCGCGTCGCGCTTTAATTGGTTCGATAGGTTAATTGGGACACAAATCGAAACTGCGCTTGCGCAACTTTCCGTTTTACCAGACGATACCTGTGCACTCAATGGAATACGCGCGAATCTAATCAAGACGATATATAAAAGTCTCGCGCACGTTGTTGACGATATATAACCCATCGACTCTACTTATCGAAGATTATGCAATTTCTTCGCGCCGTGTTCTCGATGCACACGCGATAAATATCGAAATTAGTTATGATAGGTTTCGATACGACACTATGCTCTAACAGAGTGCGTTCATCTTCGAGATTTTATGCTAATTAGAAGGAAAAAATATTGTAATTCTTCCGGGATCCTCTTATGTTGCATCGAGAATCGATTTATTAACATTTCGGTTTATTTCATCGGGAATAGCCGAAAGTTCTTTGTAAACCTCGCTCTTAATCGGTTGTGAACGATTATCAAGCAAAATCGAGATCGACTTTTCACGTAGACCGCGTATCTTATCGCCACGATCTAACGCTAGATTTCACGGGGAAGCACGAGCATCAGTTGCGAGAGCACCAGCGCTGGTTCCGCGTTCGTGCAATAACAATAATTCACAATTACTTGATTCGTTAATCTGTTTGGGCTCTTACGCAGGGTACAACGACGCTGCTGAAACATGGGGTGAGTTCTTTGAGATTCCTTCGTTATTCTTGAAAGGAAAGAACACTTAGAATATGCTTCATGTGAACAACGAATTCCTCATCCACCATCTTTCTTCGTCCATTTTATTCTTTCCTCCCTCGCGCCAGATAATTCGTACTAATATCGATTTAAAGGATGTTTTATCTCGAGTATATAGCAGGAAAGGTTAATAACATTCCGTAACAGCCGCGGATAGATGTATGCATTATTATAGTGACCGTTGCAGATGGGAAGAAGGGTAGAACACACCCTTCTTTACACAATAAGAAACAGCTAAGTTTGATACAACCCTAAGTCGAAGGGTGGGGGTAAAAGTAGCCCATACTTTACCACCGTACCTGATTGACAGTCTACCTGGGACTTCGGGTAGCCCAACGTTTTAGTCTGTCAGTCGAAGTTTAAAAATAAAGTGCAGAAATTCAGAGTCGCTAGAGACAGTAAGTTAAGTGTACCTTTCATTGGTCTGTTGATTTTGCGATACAGAGTGTTATAAGAAATTAACATATCATCGATGTGTGCATAGTTAAGCAATTTATAATAATACTGCCACTCCAAGATCGTTATCGTTATCTCCCTCTTAAAAATAATTTTTAATATCCACGCTTTCCCCGTTTCTATTGTTAAAACGAAACTGATCTCGTTATAAACGTAGTAGCGAAACTACATTGTTCTCTACGTTACTTTTTATCGATCTCCTGCCGTATATCAACACTACTTCGGTATCTAATCAGCAACTTTATCATCTACAATCCTACTAATGTCTATCTCGCTATGCGAATTCGAGAATAACAGATAATGACGAAAAAAGTAAACACGTTTCTCTTCCTAGCAGAAAAATATCATCGATCGATCCGATCGCGAGTTCCCTTTCGACGTTGTTTCCTCGAATCGACAGAGTCATCGGTGCACCTTTTACTTTCGTGGACTTTTAAGTCGGAAATGCAGGAATAGTGATCCAGATTTCGGGAACAGAGGGGATAGAAACGAGACGATCTTTCCTGTTCACCGATTTTTCCATCGCGCGTATCCGTGTCGATGGTCGACGCGACCGCACGCGGAAAATCGACACCGATCGCGTGAAGCGCCGTCGAAGTTCATGGTGTTGATTTCGTTTCCGGCGGTCGAACAATACTCGCAGCCTGCACTTTCTCGCGTTCAGTATCGCGTGACGTCCACGAGAACTCGGCATACGTCTTGGCCGCGACTAATTTCACGAATCTCCTCGTCCATCGAGTATAATATGCAAATGGCTACTACTCCTAGGCAGAGACTTCGACAAATTCGAAGTGAAGAGATGCAATCACTTCCTTCAACAGGGAGTGGCCTGATATTAAGTGAAATCTATAAATCGGTAGTCTTGCATAAAAATTGAAGATAACATCTGAAAATATTATTTCAGAATTCTTGAACTTACAATTAGACCAATGACGTGTAAAATCATTCTCCATTCTTTCTTCTTTTTTTTCTTTTATTTAGTTATTTATTTTATCGACCTTAAGGTCGTGTGTACCTTGTGGATAAAGAATTCTGTACACCTATGATCTCTAACAATTCTTTCAAATCGAGTGTTCCACAACTTGGATCTGAATACTAACTTCTTCACTGACCTATCGCAGCGAGGAGCACGCGGTATCCGACACTGGAGGTGGTGTGAGAGGTTCCGGCAAAGCACCGGAAGTCCCCAGCTCTGGCCGCGAGGTACGTAGGAACATGGAACGTGGTCTGCACGAACGTGACCGTGTCGGTGTCCAGGACTTCGTTCTCCTCGAGGATTTCCAGAGCGAGGCTGCATTTATCGATAACCTGAAAAAGCGCTTCAATGAGAACCTAATCTACGTGAGTAAAAGATGGCCTATATAGAACAGCTGCTCGAACCGTTGAGAACCGGAAATCTGGTTCCGTTTGCTCTCCGTTCGTTTACATTTGGGAATTTTAAAGTCTTCTTGATAAATGTTTGGACTTTCGGTTCGTTGTTGTACATAAAGTTGTTATCAGCTTGTTCAGGCAACAGCAGCGCATGTTTCGGATAAAGATTGTTGATTTACTGTTGAAAAATTGTAGAATGCAATAAAGTTTTACTGAAAAGATAGATATTTAAAGAGACGAGATAATGCCGCATGTAGTGCAAATTTTTTCGCAAGAAATTTATACCGTTCGATCTTGAAATTATGTTGTACAGTTATAGCCAAGTGTGAGAAGGATGCATTAATTCAATTATCTGTTCTTTAGACACGTGTTTGAAGATACCGCGATAATTTCATTAACAAATCGAACCGTCTATTTTCTACTCGCGAACAATTGTATTTCTTGTTATAGTACTCAGACTTGGATTTTCTTTTCACATTTTCTTTATTTTTACAGACGTATATCGGTCAAGTGCTGGTATCAGTGAATCCTTACAAGAAATTACCGATTTACAACCCGGAAACTATTCACTACTACCATGGAAGGAATTTCTTTGAGGCCCCACCGCACATGTAAGAAGCAATATTAAATCATAAAGTATCGTGTTCTTCGAATAATTGTTAATTTAAAATCATTTTGATTTCAGCTTTGCGCTTGCAGATACTGCTTATCAATCTTTGTTGAAGGAGAATCTGGATCAATGTATTCTCATCTCTGGTAGGAAGCAAGTTAAAGCAAGTTGAGGGTTGGGGTTAGCTATTGTAATAAATCTGAACCCCTAAGATTGAGTTGCTGCAAAAGAAATAGTTTTTCCTTATACAAAATTTTATAATTCATTCTTAATTTATTTAACTTATAATCCTAAATTCTATTTCAAAAATCTTCATAATTACAAAATAAGGTTTCTACTTATCTATCTGCTCCTTTGTTACAGAAGTAATTCATCAAAAATGTATAGTTTGGTTCTTATTTAACTTCTATTTTAGTTGCTACATTTAATTACTATTTTAGTAGTTACTATCTTAGTAATTAAATAAATCTTATTCAATATTTTTATGCACTTCTGCAGCAATGTAATAACAGATACTGAAGACGGATTTAACATCTCTGGAATTGATTGTGTAGGCGAATCCGGTTCGGGGAAAACCGAAGCTTCAAAGAAGGTGCTAGAGTTTATCGCAGCGGCTACGGGACATAAAAAACAAGTGGAGGAAGTAAATAATAAGTTGATCGGTAGTAATCCGGTACTAGAAGCTTTTGGAAATGCGAAAACTAATCGCAACGATAACTCGTCCCGTTTTGGCAAGTACATGGATATCCAATTTAACTTCCAGGTACAAATGAAAGAACGTCTTTATAATCAACTAGTATCATTCTTATATTAATATCAGCAAATATGTATATTTACTTGTGTAAAAAGATATTTCATCAATTAATAAGATTTAATATCTTTTTAGGGAGATCCAATCGGTGGGAACATCTTGAATTACCTACTCGAGAAATCGCGAGTGGTGCATCAATTTTCGGGAGAGCGAAATTTCCATATTTTTTATCAATTATTAGCCGGCGCGAGCGAAGAGACTTTGCGGAAGTTATATCTTAAGAGAAATTTAGATACGTACTATTACCTCACCAACGGAGTAAGCTATTATTTTTGCTTTCTAATCATACGACCATTACAACGTACATTGTATAACATTGTCCTAAATGATTTTTAGACGAAAGGTACCATAGACAGTATTGACGATACTAGCCAATACAATGAAGTAATAAAAGCAATGAAGACTATGGAAATGACTCAACAAGAACAAGATGATTTATTTGCAATAGTCGCATCAGTATTGCATATGGGAAATGTTGGTTTTACCGAAGAAGATGGTGTCGCACAAATTTTAAAGCCAGCTTCCGTTGAGGCTGTTGCTGCTGTAAGTTTATGGCATTCATAAAACACATAAGTAATAAAATACATTTGAGTCTTTTCTCATTTGTTCGATTGAAATTCGCCAGCCAGTTATTTTCAATTCTCAAATTCATTCACAGTTATTGGGTTGCGACATAAAACAATTGGCGGAGGCCTTTACAAATCGCACTATAGACGCCCACGGTGACGTGGTCGTTTCCCCGTTAAATAGAGAATTTGCGATTTATGCACGGGATGCGTTGGCGAAAGCTGTGTATGACAGACTGTTCACGTGGCTAGTGACCAGGTTGAATAAATCTTTACAACCGGTTAACAATCCTCTTAACAAGATGGTCATAGGAATTCTAGATATTTATGGTTTCGAAATCTTTCAGAAAAATAGGTACACGATTATTAAGATTATAAATAATATTTCCCTTGACAATCCTACATTAAAAGTTTTTTTAACAGTTTCGAACAATTCTGTATAAATTACTGTAATGAGAAATTGCAACAACTATTCATTCAATTGACGTTAAAATCGGAACAAGAGGAATATCTTAGGGAAGGAATAACGTGGGAAAATGTTCAATATTTTAATAATAAAGTTATATGCGATTTAATTGAAGAAAAGTATAAAGGTATGAAAGATCTATATTAGTAGAGTAATGAAAACTGTAAACATAATATATTATTTAATATGTCTATAGGTATAATATCATTAATGGATGAAGAATGCCTTCGTCCTGGAGAACCAACAGATTTGAGCTTCCTAGAAAAGCTGAATGTAAACTTAAACAATCATCCTCATTATATAAGTCATATGAAAGCCGATCTACAAACGCAGAAAGTTATGGGGCGTGATGTAAGACTCCAGTTCTTCAATTTCTTATGTAATCTTTTAATATAATTTTTTCTAACATGATTGCACATTTTAGGAATTCAGATTAGTACATTACGCTGGAGACGTAACATATAATGTACGTGGATTCCTTGAAAAAAATAATGATTTATTATATAGAGATTTACGTGCATTAATGTCACACACGACAAATTCAATTATTAAGGTACTTCTATTATTTTACATATAGGCTTCATTTCTTCAATTTTCTATATTAAAATTTATGAATTTGCAGAGCGTATTTGATGTGAAAGATTTGAATAGCAAAAAACGACCGGACACTGCCATTACACAATTTAAAAATAGTTTAAATAATTTAGTGGATATACTTATGGGAAAAGAACCTTCTTATATTCGTTGTATTAAACCTAATGATTATAAAATGCCCAGTAAGTCTCAACAATTTTTATTTTATTACATTTAAAATATATTTTATGTATTTTAAATAATTCTAATATTGTTCCAGATCAATTCAACGACAAAATTATATTACATCAAGTAAAATATTTAGGTCTTATGGAAAATTTACGAGTGAGGCGAGCTGGTTTTGCCTACAGGAGACCGTATGAACAATTCTTACAACGTTATAAATCTCTATGTCCACAAACGTGGCCTAACTATCACGGTCCTGCTAAAGAAGGTGTACAAGCTCTCGTATGTTATCTTAGCTTCGAACCAGATGAATATAGGATGGGCAAGTAAGGATTATTAAATAAATGAATATAATAATTACTGATTTTTATATAGATTTTAAAAAATTCTAACACTGAATATAATTTTTCACATAGCACAAAATTATTCATTCGATTCCCTAAGACATTATTCGACACTGAAGATGCTTTCCAAATGAAAAAACATGAAATAGCTGCTATTATTCAAAGTAAATGGAAAGCTATATTAATAAGACGAAGGTATCTACGTATGAAGAAAGCGGCGATAGTTTTTCAAAAGTACATTCGAAGATGGTTAGCAAAACATGAAACTGAAAAAAGAAGGAAAGCAGTTATTACTATTCGACGGTACTATAAATACATTTTCTTGTTTGAATACTTCACAAAATGTTTTAGATATATATGCTAAATTTATATAATTTTGTAGTTTTATTGAAGGATTCATTACACGAAATGGACCACCAACTGAGATCAACATAGCTTTTATTGAATTAGCAAAATCTCAGTGGTTAATCAAGCTCTCTAAAACACTTCCAGTTGGTGTTTTGAATCATTATTGGCCTCCGTGTCCATATGCTTGTCGAGAAGTAAGATGCATAATTGTTCAGTTTTATATTTGAATATTTTTCTATCCAAAAGAGAAAAAGAACTAATCATGGTTTAATGTAGGCCTCCGAACATTTACGTATCATATATAAAAAATGGAAAGCACGTAATTATAGATTGGCTTTGTCAAAAGAAGATAAAAAACAGTTTGAATTAAAAATTTTAGCTGAATCTCTGTTTAAAGGCAAAAAGAAATCATATGCAAAAAGTTTTGCGCCAAAATTCCAAAATGATCGACTTGGTGTTGAATATACAGCATTAAAGCAAAGTTTTGTTAATAATATTCTTCCTCGAGATGAAACTATAAAGGTGAAATATTTTTTGTATTTGAAATTTAAATTACTTTTAATTTTAACTATAATATTTTTTTTTCTAGTATGCAACTCCTGTTATTAAATATGATCGACACGGTTACAAGCCTCGTGAAAGGGTACTAATTTTAACGGAAAATGGAGTGTATATCTTAGACACCTTAAAAACATTTAAACTTAAACATCGATTACCCTATAAATCTATTGAAGAATTAGTTGTTACAGGAGAATCAGATAATTTACTAATCGTTAGGATACCACCCGAATTAAAAAAAGACAAGGTTTGCCATTTTCAAACTATTAAAACTATTAATATTTATTGTTGTACTTATTTAAGTTTTATTTAGGGTGATTTAATTTTGGAAGTACCGCATATAATAGAAGCATTAACAAAAGCAATTGATATCACTAATAATCCGAATATTCTTAAAATTGTTAATACGGAATCGTAAGTATAAATAAAAATAATATATTTCGCTGTTGAATGTTTTTAACTAATGTCATCTTTCAGAGTCTCACATAAACTAGTCAGTGGTAAAGAAGGTGTAATCGAATTCAGGACTGGTACAACTCCAGCTATTAGTAAAAACAGACAAAGTGGACATTTACTAGTGGTAAATAAAACATTTGCTATCTTATATATTCAAAGTAAAGTATACCTTTTAATTTATATTTATATATAATATTATAGGTGGCCTCTCCATAATGTCCAAACAATGTTTGAAACGATCTTGTACTTAGACAGAAGTGTTCAGCATGCAAAATATGATAATGCAGCCTTAATTGATGTGATCTAGAGTGGAATTTTATTAAGAAGAGATAATATATTAAAATTTAGTACATTTATCGAATGAAACTCGCAATTTTGTACCTTGCTATATGAGTTGTGTAAAATATCTTGTGAAATAATGTTTATTTTTGTAATTAGCACATTATTAGCGAAATGAAAATCTTTCGCCACTAATAAGGATTGATTAAAAATGGAACCTTTGTGCCTTTTATGAAACTATTAACAAATAATCGCACAAGAAAGTAATTTATTGCGGGATGTTTTACAGGTGCACTGAAAGTTAATATTTTTCTTTTTTTTCTATATTTATATTCTATAAGTCTCTGTGCCATTGATTTCATGTTCAGAATTATCGTAAATAACAATAAAAAGTTAAATTAAAGTAACGATCTTAAATCATAATAGACGAGTGATTTTGCATTATTTTCCCCATTATTCATATTCCTAAATGTGCTAAAACAGAGTTGTATCACCATTGTATCATAAAAAGCTAGGATTTGAAAACAATTATATTATCGATTTCGATTTTCGAAACTTTTATAAAGCCGTTATTTTCTTAAAGTGTCATAAAGAACCAAAATTTATAAAATATATATAAATTGTTAAATTTACCATTAATAGCAAATTACCTAGCATTAATTTGTTTAAAAAGAATGGAAGAGTTAATACATCATTACAAAGATAATTATTTGAAGAATCTTTTATGATCATGACTTTTCGGATTATCTTGGCCAAGTAGCAGTTGGCTATATAAAGAACTTGTGAAAGTACAGATATAATAATAATACGGAATAAAAATATATAAAAGCATAAATTTTTATTACAATTTTATTAGTTTTTAAAAAATAGGTTTAACATAGATTTTATTTTGGTTTCATATTAACTACAATTATGGTTCTACTGAAATAATATTTAAAAGACTACATGAGCTGTAATCATTATACAATTATTAATAATAATTTCTGAGATTACTTCAATCTTTGCAAAAAGCTTTACGACATTGCTCAGTTTGGAATACAAAAATTTACCTGTATTATACTTAACACTTAAGTAAAGTGAGGATTATTCTTTCATTAATTTAGTGTCAATGGCAGAATAACATTACGAATTATTTTTTGTTGCTAACTGCACTTTTTTAAGAGACTTCTTCCCATCTAAAGCTTTCTTCCTTAGTTCATCTTCCATTGCTTTGTTAACTGTTCTTGTAATCATTTGCTTTAATTTATGTGCTTCTTCAAACTTTCTCTTTTTAGGCTGAATAGGTGCATCTACAAATAAAATAATATAGTTAGAAAAAACACTTTTAGTTCAATATTTTTATTTGCATTATAAATAAAATTAGCATATAAAGATTACTCACTACTACGTCGCTGAATAGCCAAACTCTTCTTATTTTTGCCCTTATTTTTGTTTTTTATTGGTGATGGCACTTTAGATTTCACTTTTAATTTACCTTGGGCCATTTTCTAAATATTTGACAAAAATATTTTTTTAATATACGGTATACAATCATTAATATATGTACTTACGTATCATATAAATTCTAACCTTAATTGTGTAGAGAGAAATCTATACACACTTTAATGCAAATTAAATATGTTAAATAATAAATATTGTCAAAAATTCAAATTTTAAGTAAAAACAACAATTAAAACTTTATTACAAGTCTCACTTATTTTACACGTATACTATGTCACTACGTCATTGTCGACTTATCAAACGTACTATGATCATACAATAATTTTGAAACCTGTGAATTATAACATCAAAGAGTAGTGGTAATGTTTAAATGTTGTGTTTACTGTAATATAATTTTAATAAAGTAATAAATTATTAATATTTTTATTTTAAATTTGATTAAATTACGGTAATTCAAATGACTTACGAGATTAATTAGGCTGATATAAGTTGCACTTGACAAGTTATAGCATTCATTACAATTTATTGTTTGTTATCAGATCATTTGGTCTATACTTTACGAAATATCACGCTTAAGTCCCATTCCTCTTTTATCAGTTATTTAACATAGAGAAATAGAACGATCAGAATGGCTCTTTCTAAACCTACAAATTTAATTTTTCAACTTACTGCTGCTTACTTTGACCGTCTTTATACTAGCCCATTGAAAACTAAAGCGATCACTAGGTATGTCATAACAAATATAAATTCATTTCATTTTTAAATTATATTTTAAAATTAAATTGTCTTTTTAGCTGTATCATAGCTACTCTTGGAAATTTTTTATCACAAAAAATTTCTGGTGTAAAACGTATTAATGAAGACAGTTTACTCGCATTTGCTCTTTTTGGGTAAGTTTAAACAAATTACGAATTACATTTTTCTCAAGGAAATTGCAATAATCATAATTTAATTTCCATGTAAAAATTACTTATTATACTTAGATTATACGTTTTTTTAGACTGTTCTTTGGAGGTCCACTACCACATTATTTTTATACATATATACAACCATTTGTGAAAAATCCTCTCATGCTTTTATTAGTGGAAAGATGTTTATATACACCATGTTATCAAGCATTAGCATTGTACATGTTATCTCTTTTTGAGGTATGATTTATTTGTATTAATTTGTTTTACTCAGTACTTTTTTTTATTATTTAAATTAAAATTTATTTTATTATAGGGTAATACACATAAAGATTCTTATAAACAATTAAAAAAATTATACTGGCCAGTACTTACTGCAAATTTGAGATATTTAACATTACTACAATACATTAACTTAAAATATGTTCCACCAGTGGTAAGTTCTATTATTATTGAATTTATCGAAATTAAAAAGATACTTCCTACAATTGCATATAAAATAAATTTTAAAAATTAATATTATATTATTTATTATCTATCGTTTTCAGTTACGTGTTCTTGTAATAAATCTTATTGGCTTCTTTTGGGCTATATATCTTGCACAACAACGAATTAAACATTCAAAAGCTACTGGAGCAAGAAAATAACACATCAATAACAGCTAAGTTTAATTTTTATTTCATTAGGTGCAAAAAAAGATAAGTAGCCTAGGGATCCATATTTGTTAAGAATTATATATTTTATATACGAATTATGTAGGTTAAAAATTTTACTATATGTATAAATGTACTACTATATTATTATGTATAATTTTAAACTAAAACATATTGTGGATTAGGGTCTCAACTGTAGTATAAGAAATGTCTATAAATAAATTTTTATAAGTTTTATGAAATGAGAAGGAGATTCATTAAGCTTTTTAATTTAATCACACAACAACAATACAGAGTATATTACAGATATAATCAGAATTTCTTTCAACGATGGTAACATTCGATGGCTGTAAATTATGAATAATAAATATCATAGTCAAGAGCCATGGTGTGCAAAGTTTAACAAACTTTCATTTCTACACGTTCATGTAAATAATTTTCACTTCATACTTCATCAGAGTTTTGTGATATTGTGAAATACACTAATCAAGTGATAGAATGAATCTTTCAAATCTTATATTAATTCTATAAAATAAGTGTTCCATGATAAATACATATTTGTGTATCAGTTTGATTTTATAGATATGCATCAGGAGAGAATTAATATTGTCACACCATAGCAATTAACAATTTTTTTTTCTCTTTTTTTAATAAAACTGAGTCAGTCATTATGCAAGAGCTAATTCTACATAGTCTTTTCTCCTAATTATAAACAATGTAGACTTTTCAAATATGACTTTTTAACCCTATACATACATTTTCAAGACTTAACTTTGAATAATCAAGACTAGTCTAATTATGTCTTTTGGTACGCTGCCTGGCCTTACAGCCAAAAAAAACTTTCTGACTAGTATTCAGACAAGTTGAGTATTGCCAGTAAACTAAAGTTTAAAAGTTTAACATCACCTTTATACATTTTTCTTGTCTTAAAGATTGACAAATGACTAGCTACATTAAATAAATACATAAATAAATAAATAAATAAATAAATAAATAAATATGTAAATTCGAAAAATAATTGTGTATAAATAAATGTACAATTCATTGAATATTGAGTACATAGAATAAAAAGCAAATGAGCACAATGCTAATTTATGCACAATAATATCTATATACAAAAGGAACAGGTATAGAACATTGCACTAAAATATCAATTATTACTTCCTTGGAAAATTAATGGATAAATTCGAAGGATGTTCTAGTATTTTAATTATTAATGGAATGTCTAAAATTTGACTAGCTCGTGTTTGTATAACAAACAATTATATGATTAAATAATCACGCGGCACGTATAACTACTAGAGTAGTTTTAAAAGAATCTTTAAATTTTAAAAGAATTGCTATTGAATAATAATGCCAGATCTTAAAAAGCTGCAATCAACATAGTTCATGATGGCTATAATCATCATTGCCTCCTTATTGCTTAAGTACTTAGATGTACGTAAGTCTACGAAAAATGTCACTGTATGAAGATTTAAAATTTTCAAAGTTGTGACATAATATAATCGATGACGATAATGTACTTGCAAAAATGATCATATTATAAAATGTGATACAATTCTACTATTAAAATATCTTATCTGATTACTCTTGCACTTTTATCTTTTAAATCTTATTCAAATTTACAAGAATAAAAATATGTGTAACAGATAAACTTAAATTCTTATTCTTTCTTTCTTTTCATAGTATGAGGTTTGTTTTAATAATAAATCATAAACTTATATAAATATAAATATCATACTGTAAGTACATTAAAATCATTCTTTCCTAATGCCTAACTAAAATAAAAATGGAGCAATAGAAATAACATTAGTGTACTAATACTGAAGCTGATGGTATTATTGTGAATCACCATCAATGAGTATTATTAAGTTACGAGATCAGATGTGTAAATGCATAAGAAGAATTTACAAAGACTTAGAGATCATGCACCAAACTTAGAATGGCGTATTCTCTTTGTACCTTTTTGATACGAAAAAATACGTGAAACTTTTTTTATACAATCGCGCCAATTTTCAACATTATAAACATGATTTAACACGACGTAAGATTGTTACAAAAAGCATCGAAGGACCTTCATGATCCGCACCATTCCAAATCTGATACATAAAAGGAACGTCGAGTCTTTAGGGATCCACTTGATCGTTTCAACGTGTATATGATGGACTTCGACTCGGGGAACAACTTGATCGATGACTTGGACTTGACCAATTACTATGTCTGCTGCTATCTGAACTACTCGGTGACGAAGGTGGTGTCGGAGTAGGTCGATGATATGGAATTGGTCGTTTCCTGGCGCTAAAATTAACGACTGTCAATATTATGATAATCGCAATGCTAGTACATAACAAAAGAAACGTTTGTTAAAGTTTAGATAGATATATATTAATTGTAAAGAATTATTATACAATCCGTGGCATGCGTAACGTAAGATAAATATATATTAATATGTATTATTTAAAAAAATGAGTAAATGATTATCAGAAACAAAATCGTGCGAAATAAACCATGCAACGAAAATACCATGCAAAAATAAAGATGTGTCACTTACCTTACTAGAACATTGATAAAGGAAGGCAGCGGATTGAAAATAATTCACAGAACACAACGAACAAAAATATATATATCAAAAACTAAAGAAAAAGGCTTGCTTTCATAGCGGTAAATACATTTTATTTGTGACTGACATAAAATAAAAGAGAATCTCTACTGTAAATGTTTAATTTACAATAATTTATAAGGAAGATACACGCATGCTACATCTACACGACGTTTGTAGATCATTTTATAAGCGATTAGATACAAATGAAAAAAAGGGGAAAGAGAAAATCATACAAACATAAGTATACTTGTTGACTGACTTGAAATGAAATTCGTATATCGGTATAATAGAGTATATATTTACTCTACGTAACACGGATAATGGAGTTCACTGATCGTATTGCTTATAGTGTAGAAGTTTATGTAAGTGTCAAAAGTATTTTCTTAGAAAATTATTGAAGTTATACTGGTAAAGTTGCAATGTATCATAATATTCACGAATAATTATAATTAAACGACACGATTCTTTACGCTTATTCATTATTAATTATTAAACTAATTTTCACGATTGCAGCAAAATCTGCTTCGTTTCTTTTTTTTTTTTTTTCATTTACTTCTTATGAAAATGAAATTCAGTATGCATCACATGTTTACTACTACGTTATATTTATAGAAAAGTAATAGAAACATCTGTGCGAAGCCATAACTTTATCTTCTATGCCTGTCCCTCGATCTGTCCCTGTAGGACACAACACAAAATGGCATTAGATTAATAAAAAAAACGTTCAAGTGAATCGTAACTTCATCGATATCGTCGCTTTGCAAATTGCTTGTATTTTTAAAATTTTTTAAACAAATGAGCATTTCAATCGTGAAAAGGGCACATCAATGACGAAGAAATAAAGTAAAAACGAAAATAAAAAATATAAAGATTAAAAGAAGATAAACATTTCTACAATCGATGCAACGACGTGGGCTTACAAAATTTAGCGTGGTGCGCCGTAAAACCTGTTGCTACGATATCGAAACTACCGCTTTGTAATACCTACCTTGTGATACGACGTCTGTCTAGAAAACTAGGTGAGCCATGACGTCGAGGTATCGACGGAGAACGAGACCTGCTAGAAGCTGAACTGCTGGACGTTGAACGAGAAGACCTACTAGAAACACTGCTCGATGATCGTGATGAGCTAGAGAAACTTCTACGACTATGCCTTGAACTAAACATAAAAAATATATTAAGAAGTTTATTATACAAGTAAGATTTATTATTATTAAGTAAGACAATTTATTCACCTTAAAGAAGAGCGTGAGCTACTTCTGCTGTGACTTCTTTTTTCTTTGTCTCGTGATACCCTAGACAATGATCGCGACCGACTTCTTGATTTCTTTGACAGGGAACGACTTCTGGATTTCTTCGATAATGATCGACTACGCGATTTTTTTGACAAAGACCTGCTTCTGGACTTCTTCGATAGAGAACGACTCCTGGACTCCTTTGATAACGACCTGGTCCTACTCCTCGATCTTGACTTCTCCGGAGAATGAGATGGAGATTTTTTCGAACGTGATGGAGATCTAGATACAGAGTGTTTCGATTCCGAAGAAGATCTTGACCTGGACAATCTCTTCGATCTTGTCGGGGATTTAGGAGATTTCTTGGATCTCGATGGTGACGCTGAAGGCCTATGCCTAGGAGATGTCGATTTCTTACTCCTCGACGCTGAACGTGATTTCTTATCTCTGGAGGTAGACCTTGAGCGACGACGAGGCGATCTGGAAGACCTTTTCTCCAATGATACAGATCTCGTATACGACCTGGAAGGTGACCTGGAGTAAGATTTATCTCTTGGAGAATGCTTTCTAGAAACCGGAGAACTCTTCTTCGATGTAGTTGGTGATGCGGATCTTTGCTTCGATTTATTACTCGGAATCGGAGGTGGAGATTCACTCGGAGAACGCAATTTTATAGCAGTGTCTTTATGGGAGATAGATACGGGCGGCGAATGAGAGGACGATTTGCTCTGAGACGAATGTTTCCTTGAGATAACTGGTGAATTCTTCTTGGAAGTACTCGGAGACTTTGAATGATGATTTGTTTTAGCTGTCAAACTCGGCGATCTCGAATCCACTTTATTTAAGGCTGGTGGTAAAGGGGGAGGTGATTCACTGGGAGATCGTATTTTTATAGCTGCTTCTTCTCTCGTCAGAGGTAACGCTGGAGAAGGTGATCTACTTGATACTGGAGATTGAATTGCAGGCAAATGAGATATGGGTGATTTTGACCTAGACTTCTCCTGCATCGGACCAATAGTATTTTGTACCATTTTGGGCGGTTCATTTGGTAAAGCTATATCCAATATACTATCTTCTTTCTTTTCAACTTTAATCTTTACAGGACTTATTACTTTCTTCCCAAGACTCTCTCTAGCTTTCGCAGCTAATCCACTCTGCAAACGTTTCAAAGTATGCAATTCCTTTATTTTTTCTTCGTCCTCTGCTTTCGGTTGCTCATCATCTGCTATATCCGTTTCATCTTCGCTTGAAGAACGTAGTCTTACTCTTGGAGTAATCGTTCGTAGTTTTCTGGTTTTAGAAGTTGACCGGGATTTTCGTTTGTTATCATGATTTTTCTTTTGATCTCGTTTCTTCTTGTCTTCTAATATGTGCTTGTACCGTTCTGGGTTCTTTCTCACAGGAGAATAGCTCAAGGTGGATCGTCTAGATCTACTCCTCGTTCTGCTGCGGGTCCTGCGACGATCTCTGGATCTTTCCCGCCTATCTCGTTGTCTCCTAGGTGACCTTGATCTTCGCCGAGAATCGGATCTTCTGCGTCTAGGAGGCGGTGATAATCGACGCCGTGATCCATAACGATCGTACCTCGATCGACTTCTACTTCTGGATACGGAATATCTATTATATCTCCTTGGTGACCTCGAAATTCTTCGCCTCCTTGGCGAAGGACTGATACGTCGTGACCGCGAGTATCTTCTAGGGGACCTTCCTCTATCAAGCTTACTTCTTGATGGCGATCTATGTCTTCTTGGAGGGGAACTCTTATGTACGATCGGTGATTTGTCCTTTTTCTCTGGGACAACTTTTTTAATGGGAGAATCTTTCCTTTTAACAGGTGGAGTTTCGTTTCGACCCTTTTCTTGCTTCTTTGGTGAGCGATTCGATCGAGGTTCTTTCGTCGTATTCTCTGTCTCATCATTTTTAGCTTTTTCGACGGTTTTGTCATGTTTCATAGACTTCTTCGGTCTCTCTGGAGAGCTAAACATACAACAAATTTATATATAACATAAAATTGATTTTTAAGGATAATGAGGCACCAAAATTTTTTTATTTAAAACGTACCTATCTGTCGAACTCTCAGATGACTGATGTTTCCTCTTGACGGTTATTTTTTTCTTCTAGAAGAAGAACAGTACAGATTATTATGTTAGACAGTATCATCTAGTGAACACCAATCATGCATATGTACTTGTCAGTAGGATAAAAAAAGAGATCGTAATTGTTAAAAGATTCTGGAGTCTGCTCATTCGTTCTAGTACAAATTCAACAGATTAAAAAGTACAAAATGTTTGGTCAAAGATTAAAATGTGTCTATGAAAAAAATGTAGTTGAAGAAATAAAAACTATAAGTTGATATGTGAACGTTATGAATGCTTCAATATTAATCTCTTTGTATTGCACCTAGACCATAGAGCAAGCAGTCTCCTATTTGTTATTCTCTCGTAAATGTGATGGTGCTTGACACAAAACGAGTGAAAAGGCAACAACAATCGCAAAAGTTCGTACGAATAGAAAAATTACAAAATTATTATTACATTGAGTAGCGGCATATCTGGTACTCACTCAGGGAATATATCCTGTCAAATGGCGCTGATAATTACAAACAATACTGAGATTTACACTTTTGAAATAATGACTGTTAACTTGAAATCAGATAAAAATCTTTACAGAAACAAGCAATGAATCATGCTTATTCAGAATTAGGCGGCAACACAAAATATTTTATAAAATCCAATGTTCAATTAACAACTAATTGGAGAAAAATGAACGGAAGATGTCACATGCTCCTGTTTCACGTGCTAAGGTATATATATGGATATATATATATATAGTTATAAATATGTATATGTATAGAAAGAGAGAGGAAAGTTAGAAATTTCGTATCTGTTTCCCTAGCATCATTTTTCCTACCTCATGTTTTTCTTTTGCCTCTGCCTTGGACTTCTTCTTCTTCTTTTTCTTTTTCTTCTTTGACTCAGTTTCGGAAGAACTAAAAGAACATAAAATTATACTCATAAGTAAATGTAACAAATATAAATTAACACGAGATTTGGAAATTAAATTACCTGCTATCATCTGACGCCTCACTGGAATCGCTGTCAGAGGAACTAGCCTCAGTCTTCTTGTGTTTCTTTTCCTTTTTCTTTTTTTTAGACTTTTCTTTCTTCTTGCTAGCCTTTGGAGATTCCGACCTAGGAAATTCATTCACAGTTATTCTAAAAGTTTCGCTGCAAGCAAGTTAATTTTTTTTTGTTAATAATATTTAGTTTTTTAATTCTTGCAGTGGGCGTCTTCCTGTCGACAAGTGCATACCTTGTGCTGACAATAAAGAAAGCTGTAGTACAATGTATCCGTGTGTGAAACAAATACTTTATTCTAATGATACAAGCTACCTGCTGCTCTCAACGTATTTGATTGAAAAGTAAGAAACTCGGAAAAGTAGCAGTTGAGAACGCGTAATTCCGGCGAAATTTTTGCACTGATCTATCTCAGCATCTGGATAAGGTATTCAGTTCAAAAAATGGAAACTAACTTATACTGATATATATGTATATGTATAGGAAATGCAGTGTGTGAATATTTTAATACGAATCGATATAGAAAAAGAAACGAAAATTTTTATATATGTATCTTTTCTTTCTTTCTTAATCTTTCACTGCAATCCCAAGTGAATTAAGTAATAAAAAATATAAGTACAACGATACATATACAGGTGAAAGTCACAATATCGGGCTATAGCTAACAAACCGACTACATAATCACTCATTTGAAAGATTTGGTTTTTCATAGATTTAGCGAGATTTTTTTTTTTATCAGCCACGAAAAGAACGCAATATGTAAAACCACATCTTTCAAAAGTTACAAAAGACGAGTATACAAAATATGAGGAGTATTGATATAATATGGGATTAGCATTACCTTGATAACCATCGATAGGGACGGACTTGTCAGAAAAAAATAGAGAGATGACATTAACAACAAGCTTTATCGATAACAACAACAAAGATAGAAATGCATGATTTACGCGTCAGATTACGTATATGTAATTTGTAAAAAAACCCGCGTATATTTTGTATATATCAAAGTAAATGTTTGCCCACTGTTTCTAGTATCGTTAGATTATGTTCGAACAAAATTATACTTATTATTATTGCCGATGTTGCACGAATTCCAGCAGTACAGCAAACATTTACCCTCTAATTACGCCTATAAGACAAATACCTAAAAATATAGATTCAATTATCTTTTTTTTCTCAATATAGAGATGTTATATCATTTTTTTACATTTTTGTGTATTTTCTCTTTTCTTATTTTTTTATATTTATTATTTATTTATTTATTTTTTTTGGAAAGTAGACGCGACGACCACACTTACCTACTGAGCCTACTGGGTAGGCACTCAGTCCTCCTCAGTTCTGTTTGAAACAGAGAAAGGTGTATGGGACATGAAATAGTAGGTGAGTCATGAGTCAGTATCTGACAAGAGGTGTGTAGTAAGCAAATGAACGAGTGTGGAACTTGCGGTAAATGAATAATTAACCGGGGGAGGAAAGGAGCTACTACAAGGGGATGTCCGTTCGGTCTTGGAGCCTGGATTCGCAAGGGTATCTTGCACATGGCACAACGATACAAATTTTTTGCTGAACGTTCAAGCCACATGTAACATATATCATTACATTGCACTATAATATAACAAACAGTATTAGGCACTATCTTATTACCACTATACTATAGTATGCTGTAGTATACCGTTATAGTACTACTGCTACGCTATAGTATACAGTATATCCAATTCTTCAATATACCATAGTACAATGTAATAATATAACTACTGTATTCTTCTTCATCTGTGCATACATTATCGCTTTATTTATTGGCGGATAAATTAAAACATTGAATCCAGCCTCCATTGACCCGTGCACCATTACGTTGTCTTTTACCTTTCCTTCTTGTGCTTCTTTCCCTTTTTCTTTTTAATTGTGCTACCAGAGCGTTTTCGCTTCTTCTTCTCCGGGGCGGATGGTGCGTCCGGAGCTGGACTCGGGGTTCGCACTAGTTCATACACTTTGCTAGCTGCCGCTCTTGCTTCCGCCTCGCGCGCGTGCCTCTCCGGATCTAGGCTACTTCCCTCCACGAAGAATTCCGATATACCAAACGCTTCGCGTAGCTTTGCATTTTTCTCTTGCTGCGCTTCAGCAATCTGGTGTGTCTCTCGTACACTGAAAAACAAAACAAGTACACGTTACATACTGTTCCGCATCGCGCAAACTACCGAATAACCAAGCAATTAATAATGGAAATTAACGATGAATGTCCCTTATTGATCGCCAATCGATTCTCCGAAAGTAAAAGAAGCTACAAAAGAAGCGTTTGTTGATCCTCAACGATCACTCGCCGACGTTAATCCGATGACACCCGAACCATTCGGTAAGCCATATGCGAATACATTGACCCCGTGTACGGAACGTGTGTACCAGGTTCGCGTATAGACCTAGAAACACGTGGCCATCGGAGCTATCACTCGAAAATGACGCAAGAATATGCAATCTGAGGCACTCTTCGCGGAGATATCTTTTCACGTGAGAGAAGAAAATCCAATGAACGTAACCGTGCTATGCATAAAAATAAACACACCGCCGGAGAGGAAGGGATGAACACGCATCATGACCCATTTCGATATTTTAATCGAGATCCCGTTGCACGAGGAACGCGACACAGGGGTTGGAAAACGAGAATTCGTACCGCGTCGAGATTTTCACCGTCATCGTCGCGCGAAACCCGTACACCTAGAGCCGCTCAGATCTGCCGAATTTCGCGATGATCCATGGAGCGTGTAGCGAGCTCCGGCAAAGAGACGGTGGTGGTGGTGGTGGTGGTGGTGGTGGACGGCGTGTTCCTCGGTGTAGCCGCGGCGAACGTCGATGGGACCGTCCGGATAATGCGGCAAAGCAGTGACATAACACCGAAGAGAGAGACTATACCGAGGAGAAATCGAGGCGGCCCCTCTTCTACCCGCGAGTGAAAAGCAGTGGCGGCAAGCGAGGCCGGGGTCGGCCGAGCCACCCCTACGCCAACGCTCGAGCGCGGATCAATACAATCCAGCTGTTCTCTTTTCTGCTATCCCTTTCGCGCCACTACTCGCCCGCTACACGCTCGAATTCAGCAGCCGACCTCCCGGCATTGCTAAACAGAGATCAACCGGCGAAATAATTTTTATTCCTTTCTTTTTTTTTTTTTTTATCTCTACTTTCCCGGCCAATTTTTCATTTTTCACCTCGACTGCGAGCAACGAATCCTCCATGTTTCATATCTAATTATACAAATTGTTTCTCAGTTTTTTTTTATTTCTTTTTGGAAGATTGGATTTTGTACCTCTTTTTCTTTTTTCCTTTTTATCCGGCTCGTGATTCGATGTCGAATTTATTTTTGAACGAGTAAATATTACGGAGAAAATAATCTTTCTGTATCGATTATATCGTGTAATAAAGTTGGGTGATTTTGATGTTTGTGACGTGTTAAAGGGTAACAGTTGTTTACAGGGAAATGTTTCCCTTTCGCGAGGGATTGGGGGTCAACAGTGTGAGTCATCCCCAACCGAACGCAAAGAGAATGTTTGCCTTTTTAATCCCCCGCTGATCGTTTGTCCTTTACCGATATTTTAAATTTAACTTTCTGTTCTTTTTTTTTTTTTTTTTTTTTTTTTTAAAGTATTAACTTTCTAAATCGGCATTTAAAGAGTGCAACAGGGAGAAATATATGCGTAGCGATATTCCAAGGAATTGTTAGAGAAACGTGTAGAGGTATTTGTTTAGATTTGATCAAACTGCGTGCCGTTAGGGGTATCGAATATCCGTATACGATAAGTAGGGACGATAATCTGTGGTCAGAGAAACCCAATTCCTAAAGTTAGCCTTTCTATCCTCGGGCATCAAGAGAGTTAATCCAGATTGAGAAATAAAGATATCACAAATTGCATAAAATAATCTCCACCGCAAAGATCATTTAAAAATCTAGAAATTAATTTACCCCCTTTGAATAATTTTGCAAAATTCACTTTCCCATGTAATTTAGTCAGTAATTCCCGCGGCAATCCTCCAATTCTCCAGCGGTTTTTATTTTTCGAATGCTTTAGAGATGCTCGATCTCGGAAAGATACGATTTTATGACTGAAAAGTTTGGCGGAAACGATTCGGAAATGCGTTACAGAACAGAATAAAACGGAAGGAAGGGATTAAAAATTGCTCGTGACAAATTCACCTAACGACGGAGCGCATGTTGCTTCGCCGTCCGGCGAGGAGGTGGAGTTGTATGCGCTGACAACAGCAACAATGCTGTCGCATCTGCAGCTGTGCACGCTTCTTTCCATTCGCAGCTTGTAATTTTCGTTTACGCGATCGTTTCATCACCTTTTGTCGGTCGAGGAAGAAATTTCCTCTCCAAAGTGTTTCGAAGAAGGCGCGGCCATCAGCTGGACCGCGTCCGCGAGCTGGTTTCAAAGGAGTTACCGTCACAGACATAGTCATTCCACGATTCTAAGATCTCAGTGCAAAAGATCCCCTCCTCCTTGATCTTCTTAAATCGACAACACAGATTAATTGAAAATTTTAATCTCGCTGTGAATTCTCCCGCTCTATTTGTAAGCACGTTGTTGATCCCTTCATTAAAATATATCTCGGTAATTTCATTAGGTATCCTTCATAAATGTTTCCAAATGATACATTTTAGCATGTCTGTTGCAATTTATGCTAATGCGTTACGCGATTTCTTTAATATCGTTGCAACCGATCGTTCCATCTCGTTCAGTGCCCAATTTGCTCGGTCACTGGTAACCTTGGAGGACTAACTATGGGCTTGAATAATTAACGGCCGAGTAATTAGATGAGCATTAAGCACGATCGGCCGCTAATTTACGCTAAGGAGCTCTGCCGGTTGGGCGACGGGCGTGCGAGTAGTTCCGATGCAGCTTAATCCCCTTCTCGAGGCAGGCTTTGATAGTTTAGGCAGCCGGAAGGGGGATGAGGGCTAGAGGCGAAGGTAATGGCTTCCTCCCCTGATTACACCAGCACCGTATTCAGCTATCCTACCGAGAACAATCATCCGGCGACGATGATGAAAACGTCACTTTTCGTCTCTATCTTTCTCTTCTTTTCTTTATTTCTCTATCTTTTTCCTTGTTCCCGGAAGACAATTTTTTTTCGTCGCTTGATCGATTGTTTCTCTCAATAGTAATCGTCGTTGAAACGAATTTCTTCTTAAATCTTCTTTTTCTTTTTATTTTTTTTTATTTTATTTCTTTTTATTCGAAATTATTTAACAAATCTCTTCTTCGTGCTGATTTATATTATTTTTGTAAGTTTCATACAATTGCTAGTGCGTGTATATTCTTGTGTAGACGTATATTTTAGTGGCTCGTGTAAGAATATAGGAATATATCGTAACTTTATTTTAGCTTACGCGCTAAGGAAGACTTCGAATCAGGCACACTATAGTCGCCGCACTTCGACCCGTATCGAGCCCAAAGCAAGACGTCTTAATTAATTATTGTCGATTTATCGACATGGAGACACATGGATTTTATCATAGAAAAACATTAGATTCCATACAAATCTTCCGACTATTCTCCCGCAATCGATTCGAGACACGTGGGGATTATCTTGGTAAATCTTCGCGTGCACCTCATTCTTCTGCGTTTGATTCACGGCTCTCTTATTAATTTTAACCTTCTCTACCGTGTTTCTTGGCTGGTCAAATTTAAATAGATGTGCGTATTCGTATTGAACATGTGCGTAAATTTCAATCAGAATTCGGATCTCGATTAAATTGTTACACGAGTATGCGAAATTTCCTTTCTTCTTTCAAACTGAATCTACGTACCTTAAACTACACTTAGCACGACTTATCACTTACGATTACTTAAAACATATTATAATATATATATATATTATAACATATATATATATATGTATATATGTATATAATCATACTACACGCTAATGGAAGACTTTTGTGATTTGTTTGTTTGCGAGTGTATCACGAAACCGTTACATGTTCCCTCCTGTTTTGGTCTCTTTTTTTTGGGACTTTCTCCCTTCTAATTATTGGCCGACGATTCATGTACTCGACGAGTGTCGCCGACGCGTAGCGTCGCAACGCCGGTCCATCCTCGCACTGAGGCGAAAAGAGTCGAGTATGAGAGATGCTGGAACAGGACTCTCCCTCTCTCTGCTCGACCCTTTGCGTATCTCTGTTTCTCTTTCTGTGGACCTCCGTGTCTCCCCCTTTACGTGGGTGGCGCCGGCGCTATGGGGTACGTCGATATCGGCCGCATAATACCCCTGAAAGCCAACTCGGGAGAGAGAACGCGACTACGTCTCCACCCTCCAATAATATTGGGTTTAGCGGGAACCTGAGCTACCGATCAGAGGCTGCCGCCGCTCCAACATTACGTTTACACGAGTTCTAGCCACGGTAGCTATTAGGTTTTTGCCTAAAGACCTCTCACAATCCTGCTTTTCAAATTTTCGAATATACGTATTTTGGTAGGGCGAATATAGTTTCAATCGAATAGTTATGTGCAAATTTAAATTTACGTTATATTCATAATTCTTATTTCTTTTTTTTTTTTTTTTATTCATAATTGATAAATAAGTATAAGATTTTTAAATAAATTGAATTTGTTTCAAGAAAGCTTTTAGGTTTTTATATGAATATATTTCCTGATATATCCATGCTACTTTTGAAGTAGAGAAAGCCTAATATTATCCACTGTTGATTATAAATATTATTTGTTTGCAATTTCATATTATTTGACATGAATTATATTGGTCATAATACGTTTCTTAAAAAAAAACAATTCACTTCCTTTGTTTCTTTATTTTAGTAAGATTTCAATAACCTTTTATACGGTACAGTTATATAGATATAAGGTTATAAAATAAAGATAAAAAAAATATACTTACTTCACACGGCCAAATTCATCTTTAGATATTGTTGGTTTGGTGTCAGTTCCCATTAACATGGATCTATATGATTCTACTTTCTTTGTTACCTCTTCAGATGTAAATCTATAAAGCACAATAAAAGGCCAAATAAAAAACAATTCTAGCATCTATTTAATTCATAGTCAGCAGTCAAGAAATGCACTACATAGAAAGAATACATTGAAGCCAAAGATAAGCCAAATCCAATTGAAGTTCAGAATCTCATTTAGTATTGGGTTCAAGGGATCAATGGAGTTCCATATTTTTTTTCAAAGATAGATATAATTTTTTAATTTATCTTTAAAAAACATTTTTATTTTTAAAGTACAATAATAATGAGATTTATATATATTATAATTTTAAAAAAGTATATGCTTACCCTTGTTCTTCCAAAATGTCAGCTAATTCTGCACATTTGACTTCAACTTTCCTTTTTCTAACATGATCAAGAATTTCTTTATTAGGTTGTTTATTAAGCTGATCTAATTTTCCTTCATCAGTTTTATAAGTAACTTTATCTTTTGTCTTGCGTACGATTGCCCAGTTTCTTTGGACATGCCCATTAGTTCCAGAACCTCGCGGTGTTTGTAATCCAATTCCATTATACATCTTGTATTGCACCTATAATCGTAAAATGTAAAAAAATTCTAAAACATAGTTTATCAATATATATACACAAAAGGAAATACAATTTTGATAGAAGAAACCATGTATAAATAAATTCTTACAAGTAACATTTCAATAATGTACTAACTGTATTTGTGTAATTAAATAAATTCATTCATGTTTATTTTTTCTAAATAGAAAGTTTCAAGGCTAAAGTTTACAAGGAAATAGATCACAAAGGAATGATATTACATATATAATATATTTTTGTTGATTATACAATGATAAGAATCCCAGGAACGATTCTATACATAATGTAGATTAAGGAGTATCTTAACAGTGAATGACAGTAAATGTACAATAGGTATACTGGTTACATTTAGAAACCTGAATAAAGATAATCTTTATTGAAATCGCAGAATATATTAATAAAATTCTTTTAAGTGTTTAACATCAAATTTTCACTAAATTGGAAGAAATCGATCGACAATATGACATGATTGAACTAATAACTAAGGAAGGAACGAGAAGGTAGGTTAGAATAGAATACACGTAAATCAATTATCGATCCGGTGAACGCTGCGCAAATTTCACGGATATAAAATTTACACTATCGAAAAACATTACCTTTACATTAGTAACACCACTGACAATCTTGTTGTGCCATCCACGAAACTGTCGATTTTCTGACTAGCCTTAGAATGAAACCAATTGACGAAAAACACAACCAGCACCGCGATTTCTGTGGCGTTACCGTTTCTCGCGGCAGCTTTTCGATGTGTCGTGTAGTGGCGCCACTGTTATGCATTAGCGTAGGACTAAGAAAATTGCATTACACATTCTACAATTAGTCCAAATGAAATTTTTTTACAATGTTCAAATACTTAATCGAATTACATTGGACTTAATAACTTTAATCTCAGGAATAAAATAACATTTATTTTTCACATTGTTACATTCATAATTTTAATAAAAAGCTTGCATAATTGATTGCATTAATTTGTGTAAATTACATTGCGCAGTTGCTTCTTCTTTCAAACGAGCGCGCGCGATTAGCAGAAACACTAAACTTGTCATAAAACAATGCACGTGGTATAATATAATGTAATTAATCTTGTATTATTTATAAATTTATGTATTTATAATAATTCTAACCAAGAATAATATATTTGTTTACAGATAATTTTTTGACGATTAGGATATACCAAAAAATATCAATAAATAATATATTTATAACCTCTTATATCGAATTTATGCTATACGCAAAATAAAGATTACTTACTTTTAAGAAACAATGGAAGTTAGCGTAGGCGATGTAGTAATGCCTGGTGATACTGTAAAAGATATTACAACAATTAACAAAAAAGAAACAATTATTTTAGGACCTGGCCTTCGACGCGAAGCTGATACAGTATTTGCATTTAAAGCAGGTATACTAAAGAAAACAAAACCAGCTATATACTATATCGATAGTTATCAGAAACGGTAATTAAATTCTATTAAAAAGTTAATAATTTTTTACGCAAAATTTCTATATATTATAATTACTCCTTACAGTTATGTACCAAACCGTGGAGAACATGTAATTGGTATAGTAACACAAAAAGGTAGTGATATTTTCAAGGTAGATATAGGTGCCAGTGAACAAGCATCTCTTTCATACTTAGCATTTGAAGGAGCTACTAAAAAAAATCGCCCAGATATTCAAGTTGGAGATATTGTGTTTGCTAAACTTTTGGTTGCTAGTAAAGATATGGAACCAGAGCTAGTATGTGTAGATTCGCATGGCAAAGAAAAAAAATTAGGTGTTTTAAGTTCTGATGGCATGCTCTTTACTTGTTCTATAAGTCTTGTCAGAAAGATACTAAATCAGAGTTCTCCATTGTTTAATACACTTGCACAGAGTCAAGCATTTGAAGTTGCAGCTGGTATGAATGGTAGAGTTTGGATCAAAGCAAAAACTATTCAAGAAACAATAGCAGTTGCAAATGCTATTCTAGCAGCAGAATATGCACCATACAAAGATATAACAAAATTATGTTCAAACATTGAAAAGACCTTACTTTTATCGCAATTTAATAATACAGACTAATTGTAATAAAAGGAGCAGCAAGTGTTATGAATGATTATTTATTGTATCAATATTTTTAATGAGTTTTATAAATAAATCTGTATGATTTCTTATATGAAATATGATGATTATAATGACAACCATTGTGACAACCATTGTGATAAAAATGTAGAATTAGAATTATATGTAGTTCATACATTATTAAGTATGCTGGTCATGTATACTGTTATATTATTACAATGAAAACGCACATAATAGTATGATTAATGGATACTGTTAAAAGAAATATAATTGTTTTCATACTACTTACATTTTTCATTCTGATTGTAATTTAATACTGTACATTCATTCAACAAATAAATCAAATTATTCTCGTGAAATTAATATTATTAAACACATTTTTATAATTTTATAAAAAATTTTAAAATTTGTTAAAAAGAAAATTAACATGATATACTAGCCAATATAGTTTGATGACCATAATTAGTATCTAGATGAAATAGTGACTAAACTAGTTTGTTCTATTTTTTTCTGATATGTAACTAATATGTCTTCTGATTGTAGTATGAAAGCTAAATACTAACTAATGATAGTATCAGATATTCAAGCACAACCTTGACTTTCTTTATTTTGTCCACAAAAATACTTAAACAATTTTTAAACCAAGCATGTTACATTTTCGTATTTTTTCTCTTTTAATATAGGATTTGTACGTGATGGAATGTGCATTATTCATAGTTCACAAAATAAACTATGAACATATCGATAATAGGAAAACATTTTTCTACACATTATAACCGCGTATAATGGCAATGGAATGGACTCATACAATAGATTAAAACTAAAATAACGCTTACTAAAATAGCGTGAACAATTCTATATGCATTTTTATAATCTAACACAATATATTTAGCATAAATAAAGTAAATTAATATAACCAAGCGTGCATATTTAACAGTTTATACAAAATATAGAAACAAAACATTAATGTGTATATTATGTACAAATTTCGATTCTAACATATGTTTTTGTTTTTCTCTCTTTTCTTTTTTACAAAATAAATAATCACAAATAAATCACCAAAAATATTTTGGCTAATACATAATTGAATAACTTATCGCAGAATTAATATCGAGATTAATACTTATTCGCTATAATATTATTTACGGAGATATCGTTATAAATCTCTTTTACCATCACTTAATGTAAGGATGTTAAACTAACTTTATTAATCTAATAGATAATGACACGACAGATGTGTAGTTTTTACAAAAAGTAATAAATTTAGAAATTGTTAATATTTATCAATATTATTTGTAAATACGTATGTATGTTGTGTAAAACCTCATGTAATAAAATGAGTGTTCATAAAGAAAAGATATAATTAACTTGAAGCTTTTTGTAAAAACCACATTGAGTTTCCTTTCTTTCTGGTATGTCATAGGCAAGCAATATGTATGTTAGGGACGATTTATGGTGCCACCAGCAACCATTATACTATTCTATGGTATTGTGCTTCACTTAATATATATTTCACATGAGTGTGTTATGTGAAGTAAATATATTAATGCAGTACATTTAACTACAAAGGTATAATGACAAATGCTATGCACATGCTGTGCTTAATAGCTTTTGTATTTCAAAGATGTATGATTATCAATGCAAAAGAAAATTAAATGAAAGAAGTTATTAGATAAAATAAAAAGCACTCTTAATTGAAAACAGATTGAGAATTTTTTGTTGATTTCATGTAATTTATAGTATAAACTAAGTATCTGCCATTATCATTGTAGTCATAGATTTAAGTTTACAACACTGTGATCTACCTCATAAAAATATATCTATTTTACATCATTATAGTATCTGATCATTTTTTGGTATAGGAAGAATATAAAAACTTATTAGCAGAATTAAACTTAACAAAGAATTTTTGATTTTAATATTAGTACTGTAATCAATTTGAAATTTATGATTTAAAAAAAATTAGTATTTCATATGATATTAAAAAAATACTAGTTATCTTATTAAAGAAAACAATCACGATTATCTTACTATTTACTCTCGATCCTAATGATATTACTTTATTGATTGTATTCCTAATATAATTGAAGTCATTTTATGAACGTCCTATATTGCATAGGTAGATATGCAGATCTTCTATGGTATGCAATGGCAGAATTCTAAACCCAGAGGACTAAACTTTATTGTTAGTTTTCATAGCAGCTGGTATTTATAAGAATAATTTTTCATTTTATATATCAAGTAACATTTATACTTCTTTTTTTTATCAGGCTTCATCGTATCATTAATGCCGCTAATAAAAAACCTATGCCTTCACCAGACAGCTTTGATAGAGACAGTTAAATATTTAAATTACAATACACCTATTGTTACATATTTCAGCAGAAACAAGTGATTATAATTCTATTTGAGTGTGCATGACAAGTGAAGAGTCACGTTTCAAAATAACATGATATATTATTGCTGAATTATTCAAAATAAAAAGAATTTTTCTTATAGAAAAAGGGTATAATTATTACAATATATTATTATTTATTTTCAAGAGTATTGCATTGATTGAGATTTATAAAAATGAAGGTTGTTTTATACAATCCCTTGAAAAAAGAACAAAAAACATGACTCTTCTAAATGGAAAGAGGAACATGATATTCTACATAAAATACTCTTAATGAGCATATCTATTAGATCACTCTTGAAGCTCGATATCATAGCACAAAATTACCTATATGAATATGTAGATAAATATTCATCATTGCATTTCAGCATTATTATTATTTATATAAAAAATTGTCTTTGCTTATAGCTAAAATATTATGATGCCTCGGCTATATAAATATATATATTTATATTGTTATCATTATTGTTATTATCATATTATTTTTTCATTAGCGCATATATATACCATTCACAACACAGAGTGCATAGTACGAAGCCGAACTGAATCTGTTCACCCCTATAAGATTATGCTGCAGGGAGGAACAGATCATAAAGCTTCAATGTAACAACGCACAACCAATATTTATACAACCTGCGTGCACCAAATTGCTTTTTGTCAGTTTCTTACATTGACAAAAGCAATATTTAACTTATATAATTGTTTTAAGTAGAATCGTTAAGGTATTATGTTTCTTATATTATGAGCTTTACTATTAACACATGAAAGACTAATACACACGAGAATCAATTTCCACAACCATTTCCATATTCATCACTTAAGGTGCTCTAACTGAAATTAATTAATAAGGATAATAAAAATAAATGAATGTATCTCTTGGCTTCTTTCCTGAGAAAAGTTTCATTCAAAAGATTAGAAATTAACATAAAAATAAACCTGTTTTGTTTTTTTTTTTTTTTTTACTAAGAAAAGCCTCAACACTAAGCACTCACTACTACAATCTTTATAATAATGTATTTTACATAATGACAAATTCTGATATGGTACTACGTGTAAATTGTGGAAAATAACTATGTATCTGTTTGTACAGGAAGAACTTTTATCAAAATCATCAACCTTATTGATTGACTAAGTTAAATTTTGTATGAAATTTGAATGAGATGACATTTCTCATAAAAAATGAATATATGGAAAAGATCTGTTTCAACGGTCGATTATCAAACTTGATTCTATCAAAGGTGATATCCAAAATATTTTAACTTATTCTACTTTTGCCCTATATTTACCACTAATCTGAATAGAATGAATTTAACCGAATATCTGGTGTTCATGAATAATTCTTATTTAATGAATATTATGCAAATGTGATGGACTTTTTTCTTGTTTTCCTAAAAAGTTTATGTACCGAAACTTATTTTTTATGGAATTGTGCCATTTTATGTTTATTGAGGTTTGGTTTTGATGAAATTTGATTTTATAGCTTTTAATAATTCAGTAGCAGTAGATATTGCATTTGTTATTAAGGTAGTGCAAAAGCATGTTGAAGCATTAGACATATTTGAATAGTCACATGCAAAGTTAAAAATATGAAGAATATAATGTTACTAGAAATAACATTAACATAGTAGAATCATTTTTACAATTAGAACACTATAATTTTTACACTGTACACTCTCTGATTCACAGGATTTTTCCAGAAAGAGCATATGGTGCATTGACTTTCGTAACATTAATTTCTTTGGAAAAAAGATTACTAAAATATCGTCTAAAAAACAAGTGCATACTTATAACAATAAATAAAAAAAACATTAACTTTTATAAAAACACAAAAAAGGAACTTTTTTACCAACGACTTCTGCACACCTTAAAACGGCAGTAAGCAAGCCTTTATCATACCTCGTGTTTGACAAAAATTTGTTTAATCGGATGATGTGTATTATTGACAAAAGTCTTACTTTCTGCATGATATTGTCCGTTAAAATCTCATTTGTGTTCGGTGATAATGATTAAAAATAATTGCGTAAAAAACATGTGTTCATGCAGAATGTAAGACAAAGATTTGTCACTTAATATTAATGTTATATGATTTCAGTTGCTTCAAAATTTTGTCTTTTGTTCTTAGAATTACAGTCTTACTAAGAATATTCTTTTTTTCGCTTACAGGAGTTCTTGACTTTAAGCTCGATTACTGAGCAATAACATCGAATTTTAATGTTAGAACATCCTGGTAAACATCCTCAAAAATGTACTACTCCATTTCACAAAACCTAGCAGAGTCTTACATATTTTCTTTGAACACTTTACATTTTATTGTAAGTGAAAAATTTACTTCCTTAGAATATTCGTGTATGATGCATCTCTCAATTTTCAGACTATAAACATAAATTTCCACTTTTACGATGATTATTATTCATCGCTTATCTGACTCTACGCATTATGACACTTGGTGGAATCGAGGCCTCTTGTAATTCCAGTTACTTACGTTTAAGGTGACACATAAATTGTGCTCAAGCCACTTGTTAATAAAAAATTAGCCACAGAAATCTAAATATTTAATCGCTAAAGTCGCATAGGTTGCACAACGCTATTATTGTTTAAGCGTGTAGTTGTTTGGTTATTAAAATTTTCATCTTGTGGAATGTGTTCTGTTCTTTCGTCGAAAAATCCTGGATTCAGAATGATATTGGGTACAAGTTCAATCACTTCCTGCTCCTCCAGCTGCGCTGCAATTCGGGAACGGAGATTAATTTTCATTGGCCTAGGCCATGAGTTATATTAGCTTCTACCCTCTCCCTTTACCAGTGTTTGCTGGGCCACGAATATTTAAAAAATTCACATTATATTAACGATTGAACATTCTATGTTCAATTTAGAAATTATATTATTTATAATAAATGCAAATAATATAGAATATATTAAGAGATCTTTCAATGATATGAATATGTTGCTTACCCAGCAAATATATATGTGCTATCTTTGACCTAGATTTTATATAGTCAAAGATGTACTAATAGCACATAATGTTATCTAGGCCATAATGCTCTATTTCACTATCACAATACTTTCTATTCATGACACTAATCATTCTGCATAACAAATTTTATACAAACCACCGAAACTTATTAATTATACATAACAGTAAAAAGTAGGATAAAAAATTCTTTATATAGAGATTAAGTCTGGTGGTTGATAAAGTCCATTCATAAGTTATAGGTTTCATTCCTATAAGGAGTAAAAAAGGTGCTACTGACAGGCAGACTGTATAGAAAGATACAAATATGTTACAGATTATTTTAGTGCCTTATGTTGTAAGGTGTTTTGTGCAAAAGTTATAAAAGTGTTATTGTTAAATCGGTATTGGTAAGAAAATTTATTAAACGCTAGTAAATTTTAAAAGTTAAACGCTAGAAAATTCGTTAAATGCTAATTTGCAGAGCGCTTGCAGTAGGGAAATATTAGTGAAAGATAATTGGCACTGTATTAGAATAGCACTAAATTGATTGAAAGGAGAATAGCTGATGTAAAGAAAGCTAGAGATCAGGGCCATAGATAAGTTAAGTGGTTAGTGATGCTATCGTTTCTGCTGCAGATCTCGTCCTCTAGATAATTACGTTATATTTCTCAAAATTAAATGATCTAGCATATTCTACTGTAATTTGTTTGCATGAAAGAAAATAAGTTTCATCAGCAGAAATAAATAGCATGGAAGAGAAAGAGTAGAAGCAAAAGCTTTTAGATAAAGTTACCAGGAAATGCTTACAGGGTACTTTGCACTCACGATAGAGGAGGTAACAAGTACCTATACCAAGAATCATAAGTGTACCCATAACTATGCCTACTGCTGCCACCCAGACACGAGTGTCAAAATTTTCTACACCTGCTAAGAGGTGTCTTGCAAGTTCTGAAATAATTGTCAATTATAATTAATAAGCTACAGTATTCATTTTAAATATTAATTTGTTTACATGCAGGATCATGGTATTAAGTTGAAAATATATACCTAGTTCTTCAATACTGTGATGAGTATGACCATCAACCTCAACAATTTCTCCTCTTCCTAATTGATTTGTTGCCCACACTCGAAAAGAATACGTAGTGTTTGGCACCAAGTGATACACATCAATTTGCCTCTATAAAATTATCAATTTATGTAGCAATTGTTCATATTTAGGAAGGATTTTATCATAGCAAAAATTATTTACAGAATTTGGAGGAATGTGCGTTGGAACAATAGGCTTCCAGTCTTCTGGTTCTTCACCCACATTCGGTTTAAGACGATATTCGGCAGTGAAATCTATGATAGGATAACCACCTGTGCCAGCTACTTCCCAAAGAATATTTGCCAATATTGTTGATGGTTTAACCCACACATTATGTAAAGCTGGAGGAGGTGCTTAAAACAATAAAGATAAAAATATTAATACATGATTGCTTTAAAATTATATTAAAATTTAAATAACATACTTCTAACTTGTACATTGATTCTAGTTTTGACAGCATCATGATCATCATCTAAGGTGCATGAGTAGTTTCCAGCATCATCTGCACTAACATTAATAAGTTCCAAAGCTCCATTAGGCTCAACCTTTAGTCTTTCAATTTGTCCATCTTCGCGTCCCTCCCTTATCCACATCACTCCAACAGATTCTCCTGACTGTGGCAGTGCATCTTCTTCTGCACATGCTAATGTCAAGTTTTGACCTATATCTACAGCCACAGATCTTATTGGCACTAAAGTCGTTCCTTTGTGCCATGCTAAACATTAAAAGAAATTATTAAATTAAGAAAATTATTGAATTCCAAATGAAACTTAACTATATTTATGTATATTTACTATAGAATTTTACATAAAAATAAATATTATACATTATTTTTTCTTCCATAGCATTCTAATGCTTTTAATAGACAAAAATACGTGTAATAAAAATGTAACATTATAAATTAAATTTAATTATTATTTTTAAAATTAATTACATTAAAATATCGATTAATTGTAACTTTATTACATAAGTATAAACTTAAAAATGATACTCGTATTTAGGAAGTTTTACAAAATTATCATATACTGAAAAAATTCATTTTTTAGACTATAAAAAGAACTTTGCAGAAAACTAAATCGTCTGTACATCGAGTGTATGAAACATGGCATATTATGTTCAATGAATGTGTTTAATGTATCATACAATTTTATTGGAATAAAATATATCTTTTATAAAAAATTGTATGTACCTTCTAAATTTTTACGTTAGTTATACAAATTTAAAAAATTAGATAAAAAATTATGCACTGTTGCGTCGTTGCACTGTTAGCTTTTAGTGAGACTGAAGAATACAAGAATGAAAATCACTTAATCTACTCGGGAAATCGAGATACTCGTTAAAATTTGCATAACTCGACCCTGAATCGTAACGATCGTGCACTTAGCCCGATTTATACAGTGTACGTATAGAAGCGCACAAAGCCGAACGCATAGTATCACATTGATCCGCAGGTGCACTTACGCCTGAACGAATTTTACTACTTACCTGCCAGAAAGAGTACCAGTGTGATAATTCTATGCCCAACCATTCTCCCATATTAGACGACCTCGCATGGATGCATACGGAAACGTGTTAAGGATTTTTTCTTAGCCACATCTCTTGATCGATTTTTTACTTTTAAACAACGTTCAGTACGCGGGAGCTGTCAAACTCATCACGCATCGCGGAACACCGCCCGTCCGGCGCTCTTTAGATTTTATTGAGTTGCTGTTGGCGCACTCTCGCGGTGATGCTACAAACCTTATCAAAAAACAGGGTTGCAACTATATCAAACTTGAAAGTAGTAGCTGCTGTCTGTTTAAATATGATAAAAGATTGTGCTATCATGTGCTATCATGTAAAAATTAGTTGAATTAATGGAATTATATGAATAAGAAAATTTAATAGGTTTTTATTTATATTTATTTTATGTGTCGTTACTTTGCAAATTGCGATCGTTTTAAACGATTGAAAAGATCTAGAAATGACTAGTTACCTCGTTAAATTGAATCGTAGTACGCGGGAAGAAGTGCATCGATACTCCTATCAGAACTGGTTGAATCTGCTTTACTGATTGAGGAAGAGCTGCTCCATATTTTCCTCTATCTTTGTCGCGATTAACCAGACAAAAGCGATAGACACCTCGCAATGGGATAATCGCGGTAGTTGCGTATGATTGCTCGCGTTTGTACATGTGCATATGTGAACACTATTGTACAAGTGAACCGAGAAAACAAGAGGACTGGTTGAAATCTGTCGCTGAATTGGTATGTATGTAAGTACGTGCATGCCACACGCGACAATGTAACCACAATCGATTAGGTTTTCAAAGAATTTAATCATTAGATCTATAGTCAATTATATATTTCCGCTTTTACAAAAACGTTATTAATAATACATAAATCAACTATATTCATGCATCGAAAATTTTGATTTTATATAACAATGAGAGTTCTTTATTAGTAGTGAAATAAATTACTTTGTAACTATGCATTATTACAAAAGTTTTGCAATTAAAAAGTTTTAATTAATCACTTTTAATTGAATATATGAAATACAATTCAATTGATTATTGCTTGTGATGATAATAAAATATGTTATAATTTTTTATTTAAAAAAAATAATTTAAGAATTTAAATAAATTCTCTAAAACATTTTTGGGGAGAAATTCTCCAAAACGAGTTTTATTTTTATAAAGTTTTACATCTTGAAACTTATTTAATCGAGTGATCTTTCTCAAATTCGGCGCTACTTGTCATACAGAATATTATTGTTTGCGTCATACTCCTATCGTATAATTTAAATTGCAAGAAGTTGATAAAATGTATGATTTGATCAATATGTTTATCGCGCATAATTAATTTTCGTCTAAGTAAATTAAAAATAACGTTTATAAAAGAAATGTTAATCATAATGTTATTATGATAGATAAAAAAGTTTTACTCTATAGTGACATTCACATTTTCAAGTCCGTATACAATTTTTTTAATTTAACGTAATTACTAGAAAATCTACTTTTTATTAAAAAAAGTAATAAAGACGTGTATAATATAATAGAACTAAAAGCGATTTAAATAGGTTGTGTCTGCAACGTCGTATCAACCTTTAAAGGGTTAGAAAGCCTTCCTACGTCGTTGAAATTATATCAGCCGTTTTCCATCCTTGTCTATGTGACGTAACTAGTGACGTCAACAAATTGAAAGATCGATTGAATTCAAACTTGCTCTTTCGCATTTGGAAATTGGATTAATGATATGAAATATTTTCATATATATTCGTAATGTTTCAATAATTTAAATTCCAAATTTTTTATTTCATATATCGAATGTTTATTTTTTAATTTCAACTTTAAATTTTCGATTACATGTGATCTAAAATATTTTTTATTACGCTTTTTTTTTTACAGCTATTTGTATAACGATTTTGTTTCTCAATCAAGATTCATTTTTGAATGTTACACATTGTGTGTATATACATTGCGTCAATGTGGTACATCATTCCTAATTATCGCGGATTGTAATTAGCAACGTGGACACGTGGTCTGCGGCGGTGGCATTCATTTACACAGGAGGGCAAAATTAATTACGTTAGTCAACATATGAATTCCAAGAGGTATTAAGATCAGTATTCATGCGGATTATTATTATCCAATATAAAATCCTTTAACTAATTATCTTCCATATTAACAATTTCTTACTAATTATTAATACAGCAATCAATATCAAGTAATAGTGTACACAAATTTATTCCAATATCTTTATTTAATTTCTATTATTTTTACTTTTTATTTTAATCTTTCACGATTCTACATTCAATTAACATATATTAATTCGATTCATTTTTGCAGACAACGATTCTTATTAACTTCATACATGGTGCATTATGCAAGAATACTTTACGAGTGCACCTTAACGTTAATATAATATACTTCGTTGATAATGAACCGTGAAGGGAGCTAATGCAAAACAGTCTGATGATAGTGCGTAATGAGAACAATGTAATCCTATTAAGAAGCTTTTTATCTAGAAATCAATACGTTGGAATGGTACGATGAACTCTTATGGCTGTTTTCGTCAAAGCGTAGTAAAATTTGCCTAAATATAATTTCTCGATATTTCTGCTTCATCTCGATTCAGATGGGAATAAGGTAGTTAATTACTGTACCGACGATCCGTTGCTAGAAATCGGAGAGTCGAGTAATTCTCGGTGGATCGTGGTTGTCTGTATCGTTGCGCCTTTCCTCTGGTCTCCTGTTATATTGAAATTGAATCGTTTCAATTTCCAAGCATCGAATTACTCTTTAGAAGAGACTCCGTTTCTTCCGTCTGCACATTAATTGCGAATGGAAACGAACAGGCGGAGTTCAGCTCGTGTCTGACATTTGGTAGGTGCAGTTTCACGTTTTCACGTTGTACGGATGCAATTTATACAACCGTTCAAGTTGCTGCGTTAATTAAGTCCTTCGAGATTTGGATTTTATGTATATTGTACGAATTTTCGAATTTACACTGTTATTCTGGGATATGGGGATTGATATAATTATTGTATAATCAAATTAGCTTAATCATCTTTTATTTATATATATGTTTGCTTTTTCTGTCATTTTATTGTGATTTGAAACTTTCCAGTAGACTTTATTCCTTAGGAAGTATTTTATGAATTCTGCCTTGATATTCATCTTCGCATTCTTTTGATATTAAGAATTTTTATGAATGTTTGCGATGGTATTACCATACCATAACTAAAGAATACCAGGTTGGGTGACTTCTGAGACAGCTGTTAGGACTATAGTATTTAAATAAATGAATTTGTTACTATATCGAGAGTTTGTCAAGTTTAATAATAATTTGGTGATAAGAGAAGGGTATATATAGTTGATTGAAATATCAGTAGAACGAGTACAGTGTCGATAAGGCAGTACACAGTTCTCTTTAAATCAGTTCCTATTAAAATAAATATTTTTTCTACATTTTAACTAGATTATTCTGGCAACCATAGTGGACTGCACTGTAGCGAGTCCATTATTTCCCAAGAAAAAAATAAGGTCAAAGAAGAATTCTCTGTTATTCCCAGGCGCGGAAGTCATACTGTGGTCTCACAATTAAGATCATATCAGGACCCGGATCAAATCTTATTTACCATCTGCGTAAACTTCATGGCACGTCCCTACAAATTAAGACACGGTATCGATAACATTCCATGTTCGTCCTCGTGTTCATCGCGCAATTACACGTAAATTGGAACGTTCGTTAAAAAAAAAAAAAAAGGAAAAGATGAAAAAAAATGGAAAAAAGGCTTTCATCGACCTAGTTTCGCTTTCGTCTCGGGTTACTTTCATTACGCCCTTCACCGCAAACCGAAAGGATTTCCGCGTAACTTTCCAATTACGATTCGCTAGCTGAATGAAAAACGTTCGACCATTCGTTCCTAGTGCACCATACACTTCGATCATTTTTTTTCTTTCTCCTTTTTGCAAACGTTTCAATCCACCTTCCTTAGTCCGTGATGTACACATACACATTCACACGACCGGATGTCGGGCTGGCGGAAAACGAGCTGTACCTACGGGCACCTAGGCCAGGAGGGTGGAAACACTTCGACCCGTCCTCTTGAAATGTCAAAGGTTGCCGCGCAAGGCGCATCGACGTATCCCTGTTTTCCAGGAGCCGGCAGTTGAACACGATTCCATTGTTCCTGCTCTATCGTCGGGTAATAATTATCATCATTTCCATTTTGCGCCATTTCATGATTGCGCTCCTTCGAGCATGATAGACGAGGAATTTCTCTGTCTTTAAGGTTGAAGATGTATATAGAGACGTATATATACTTGTATATATCGTACCTTTCGCGGAAAATGGATTGAATATGCGATATTATAGCAACAATTTCCTTAATTTCATGACCGCGAAAATACTTACAGGAATACAAATTTATTGTCCTGGAGTATTTGATAAAAATTTTTTAATTGTAAAATGAAATATTCTGGAATATTCAGGATTTATTCTAATTAATTTTGAAATTTCTTTTTTTCTATGTACTAGCTAAGAGTCCGTGTTGGCCGATTTTAAAAGCAATGTATCGAAGAGTCCTTCCAGCCTGCTCTGTGTCACCTTCCTTAAGCTTTACTTTCGCTTCTAATTTTCTTCGCAGCTAATCTTAATTTCCGTTTGTTTTCACTAAATGATATATTATCTTTGGCACGAAGATAGTATATATCTTTTGCTTAGTTTCTTTACACAGGTGCACCTGTAATAATTTCACAAATATTTAGAATCCGTGGCATTGAAAACTCTCGTTAATGGTGTCAATGAAGGCCCACTGGAAATGCTATTCGTTTCACAAGGCAGCTGATTTCAACGTAAATAAATTGCAATAACATGGTCGCGCAAAATCGATGCCATCAACGAAGTCCCTGGCGGAAGATTAATTATTTCGTTTTCATTCAACTTGATAACAGGCAATTCAATTTTCCCCAGGCAGACCTTTTACCGGTCTGAAAATTACCACTGGCTCTGCGTTTCTAAAGTCTCTAGGTAATGGAGACCCAAAGTCACGTTGCTCCACTCGCTTTTCTCTTATCAATAGGATAATTAGAATGATCCATTGTTGTTTTTATTATTTTCTTTCGCGTATCTTTCCATCATTGTAGCAAGGAGCTCTTCCGGCTTCGTCGCGGTGATATTTGCGCTTTTAAACTACGTAGGTACTTCTAGAACTTCCAGTTTACAACTTTGAGTCGTAAAAATTTTAGAGGCTTCGTTGTAAATTGCTTGGTAAATGTCAAAGGATCCAGGGATAGTTTCATCCAGAAGTTCGAACGTCCCGAGCATTCTGTAGGTCGAATTTATTGAAAGAAATGGATCTCAGGAGTCCTTCGTGTGTTCGACATTAAATTACTGTTATCTGTTCTTCTGTGTCACCGCACCCTTGCATTCGGTTTCAAATTTTCAATACCTAACTGTGTCACGGCGAAATTTCGAATCTTCGATCAGTTTCGGTACAAAACGCGTTCATTTCGTTTTCTCGTAATTCAAAGTGTCGAGAATTATCATTGGTATGCTCACAGTAATTAGTATCTTATTTACCTAGAGGAGATTTCCGAAATTTATCGCTTACTAAATCTCGAGCACGTTTCGTCTCGAGACAGATAGAAACGTAATAAAAACTAATGACAAAATGATGTTCCCGATATTGCGACGTTAGCATGAGCTGTGATATATGGACCACTGTGTGTTTACTGCTCTCCACTGACCTCAGACATTCTGGCGCTTCGATAAACTACATTTTGAGAGTTGCTCCATTTGTACTATTACGCGTTTACCCACGCGAAGTGTCTTAGCTTTATTAATCTAATTAAATAGAAATATTCTTTGAACGTACACTGATTTATGTTAGAAACGAGTAACTCTGCGAAACACGTTTCAGAATAATGGCAGCTACTATCAAAGGAATATTGTCATGGAACAATACAATTTCCTGGATGACATTACACAATTTGAAATTACACGTTTGTCAATGAAAATGACGTATCTTTCGGTAAGATATTATTCGCGATACGACGTGATGTGCGAAATGTTTGTGCATGTCCCACGTACCTGATTGGACAGCGCGTGTCGATCGACGAAGTCGCACCACGAATTTCCACGAAACAGATATTGAAACTTCACAACGAGTACAAACAGGAGAACGGAAGGACTGCTATAAATACGGTTGATTTGCAAACGTCACAGGAGTTGCATGCTTGTGTGCCGGAAACGCGATGCTTGTCATGAAACGGAGATAAGCGCAGAGGATGCACATGTTCTACTCTATTCTGGAAAACGAAATGGTAAATCGAGATCTAGATGAGAAAACTTGGCGAACTAGTGACTTCATCTTCCAAATAGAAGAGACACGATATAACGAATTATATTAATAATATTATTTTCATTCATTACAACGGATGAAAACGTTTTCTGGCATTGAACAGTATGTCGAACGAGAAGAACGTCCGAGATATGTTCTTATCAAATCTTACGACAATACGTGAATTCTTTAAATATTCATACACGAGAAAACATACATAAAGGAACAAAGAACGAATTCAAGTGACGAAAGAGTTTATACGTGTGATCGATTTAAGAGACATGTCCCGGATTCGTATAGCAACGCGTTCGCGTTTCTTTTCCAGAAATATATATCAAAATTATGACCTTGTTCGCAAGAAGCACGGATAAATCGCAAGGCAATAAAAAGGCGCAATAGAACGATGCTCCCTCGTCTGTGTAGGTTGCAAATCTTGACGTTGATGTTCGCCAATGGTATAACGCGTTCTGCATTAATCAAGCCAAATACCGAAGTACTGCTTCCAACAAAAGTAAGCGTAACTGGCTTCCTGGGCGAGAGAAAAAGAAATATGAATATGGGATATCGCTATCAGAACGTTATACTTTGGCACAGTAATATTTGAAAATACGAAACGTTGAAGAGGAATTTTTCACGTATAATATAATTGGAAGTATAATATTCTTTTAAAGTCCTTTTTTGGATTTAAACCACTCATTATTACACTAATATCACAATAGGGTGATCATGTTATCGACGTGGTAACGATACGAAATATTTCATTTCCGTTTAAAGCTTCCAATGAAAAGTTTCTAGAGGCTTATTTTAAAAGAGAACTTTGTCATTATTGGTTTGCGCTATGTGACATGCCTGCTGGCAAATGATTCTGTGCAAAGCTCTAGAGTTTTATGCAGCTCTTGTCTGTATTGTACTCAAAGAATCAAATGCTCTGCATGATAAAACTGACCAATTTCAACCATGAAAATGTGTCACGTTTACCAGCGTATTTCCTTCCTTGCTTCGTTTATTTAGTTGTTTAAAAGGTACCATCTCTTTGCCGAAGGAGTTACCAAAACCACCTGTTTAAAATTCATAAGGAGCAGAACTATTAAAAGTTCCACAGTTGTTTACTAGTACGACTTTGCGTAACTTATTAGCATAAGCAGCAAGGTTACCATTTTAACGTAACAGGAGTAAAGATTTTTCATATCACAATAATTGTCGACATGTTTACGGAAATATTCACAGTTTTGTTTGAGGAAGGACTTTAATCATTCCGACGAAATCCATTAAAAGTTCGTTTTAGAGAGAAACAGGTATGCGAAAAGTTGTAAATGTTAAAATGAAATGAAGAAGTGCATAGAAAGAAGAGCTTCCTTGCTCAACATTGGATCGTCGATCCTTTTGCAATTCTGCTTGGCGCCGATCTATCATTCTTGGAATTTCTCCAAGGAACTTTGTCCTTCGACAGAATACCATAGTCCGCTCATGCAGAAGTTACCGAATTCGATGTTAAAATTTTATTTTTCTGCGAATAATCCATCTCGCGAAAAGTTCTCGTGTGAAAAATTATTGAAGACGAAAGATATATATATAAAGCGAAATTTTCTTCCAGGAACGTTCGTAGATATTCGTTTCAAAGAGCCTCCTTGTAGTAAAACATTAGAATCAAATGAATGCAATGACATAAAAATCATGGAACAAGAAGTTTCCAAAGGTTGCTATACACAGCTTGAGAATGATAAGGAAAAATGTCATGAGCCTTCGGGGAAAATGTCTATCAGTTGATGATATTCCAGACGTATATACATTGACTAAACGTAAAAGATTATTCTTCACCTAGAGGTAAGGTTTCAAAGTCCACTAATTTTGCAATTTATTTAATTGGAAAAGAAATAGAAAAGTAGTTGAATAGGAAATAATTGAATCCGGAACATTTTAAAATTGTAATTGCTTTCTGTGTTAAAATGATAATTATATCAAAGAAAGTGTCACTCCTTATCAGATTTTATCAGCGATTGAGATATATCCGATTGATGACTGCATTGTTCTTAAAATAATACTTATCTTCTTATCTATTTCCATTTCACGATGCAATATATTAAGTAATAAATATAATAGAGCCTTATCTTAAAACCATTTAAAAATTGACAGATCCGAAAGAATTGAAGTTTCATCCTTAGTGATCAGTAATACGTGAAAAGATTTATCAACTTCGTTATGCGTGTATTATTCAGCGATAAAAATATTTAATTTTACGAGTGCAGACCGTCATCAAGGTAATACTTTGTTCCTGATTGAATTCACGATGACGTTGATAATAAAACGTCGTATTACGTTTTCATTAAAGGAAAAATATCAGAGAAGGAACCAACACCAGAATTCGTGGATAAATTAGGTGTTCTATTTCTTATTTATAAATTTCATACTGTTTTGATTAATTTCGATTCTTCAATTTTGGTATTTACAATATGTCGAATCCCACATTTCAATTAATCGATGATACATCCATACTTTTGCGTAACATCGAAGCTTTGTACTGATTCTTCTACCTAATGAAGCTCTCTACTTCGTACATCTCGGTAAGGTAATCCATTTGCGTGGTATTCTCCGCAATCGATTAACGAAGTCTTACGAATCATTTGCCTTCCCCACAGAAATTTGATACCTTTTCTGTTCTTCGTGTTTCTTCTTTTTTTACCTGGAGCATATTTTTACATTCGATAATTGCACACTGTATCCAATTTCATTATAAGACCTTTCAAGTTTTCACCCTATAAATGATTTATAAATATTTCCCTTCTGTAGCCTTTTCCATGGGTTGATGGCAAGCATGCTTTGTTCCACGACCCCGTGAAAAATCCAATTTCTCCGCACGGTTACGAAGTGAAGATTCAAATGCTGTGAAGACAGACAAAGTAAAGAAGTAAGAAAATCATAGACATACAGGTATAAAAGCTGCAACATTACTTTTACCTTTCACGGTAATTTACCATTAAAAATGATGACACGAAATAGATCATCAACGTTGCATCTAAATTAGAAAATGAACATGCATTATAGACTTGCTATAGTTTTCTATAACATATAGTTTTTCCATAACGTATGTGGTTTATTATAGAGGATAAAAGAAGTCCTGGGAATTACGCTATAATTCTTGAAAAGAGCCATGAAATTAAATTTTCTATATGTTTCCTTTTGAAAGTTGCTTGGTATATATTCCTGACCGCACGCGTTATTCAAGGGCCGGATGCGCTGTATCCGGTGAACCAATGAAAATAATGTGGCGATTATTACTGCCTGACTGCATTCGATTCTCATAGCTTTGTTCCTTATTTTAGTATCAGGTATCTCTGTCACTTTAAAAATTTCGACGTCGAGTATGGATATTTTTCAAATCAAGCTGTAGCGTATTGCCAATAGTAATTGAAACCTTCTTCCTGGAATATCTATTACAGCCAGCTGTACCAAAGGTCATAGTCCATTTTTTTATATTTTCCTAGTGCACAAACAAACGTTATAACGTGATTGGGTCACTTAAGTGGCTAAGGATATAACAGCGCCACATACTTGCCTATTTCCTAACACCGCCTCTCATCTTTCTAATGATGCCTTAAGAAGAGCTGCAGACGATTGTGCTCTATAAAACAGTTGTAAAGTTGCATTACTTTCCGAGTTCGTCGCCGTGCAGAACACGTGGATCCTCTGGCGGAAGGTCAACGTTGGACGAGTCTTTCTTAAGTATATTCTTGCCTCTCCTTTCGTTGCCCGAAGAAATCTTTTGCTTACGTCACTGTACATATACATATCGTACCAGCAGGTTCAACGTGTTTTGACGTCATTCGATGTGTGCTGTGATCATCTGTGCCTGGAACATGCTACTGCGACTACGTTTATCGTAGTCTTATTATATTTATAAAGAACTATATACTTTCATCAGCTTGATTAGGATTGCGTTACTTTCTTCTTTCATTCGATATCTTTTTAAAACGAGGAGAAAATTTTGTGGTAAATACTTTCAATAGCTTTCAAATACACCTTTCAAAGAAAGTTCCGAACTTTCCAAGTAAACTTTTAAATGGAGAAATAAAGGCGTCCCCTTTTAATTTGTGAATAGAGGTGTCATAGAAAGGTGGGAGGTTGAAATAGGTCAACGGGGTTGTTAGAGTTTCATGGAAAAAACCAGAGGTCAGATTATCAAAGACATCACAAGGTCAACTTTGAAACAATTTTTTTTAGGTTAGGTTTGCACGGTTCGTGCATATTCGTAATGGAATTCTTCGTTATATTTAAGTTCTTCGATTAACTTCCAAAGGCAGTTGAAAAGGATTCTATGAGGATCGTTTGACCATTGAAACGTTTCAGTAGTTACAGCAGACAATAATCCGAACAGATTTTTTCCTTCGGCATTTAAAGCCTCCACAGGAATTAAATCGTGCTTGCCTATTCATAAAATGTCTCTTATATATCGCTCGTTGCATAAAAGGGGAATGGTTTTTACCGTCCATCGAGCGATCTGCTTCGCTTTTGTGCCAACTCGTGGAGAGAGCGTCACTAACCTTCCGCAATCTATATTCTTTTGATAGGCGAATTTTATTCTTTCCCTTTCATCTTCCGCAAATAGGCCAAATTCGTCGGTGCTACGCGCGTTCATCCGGTAACATTGTTGATTTGCGATAAGGAATATTGAACAAGCATTTCATCCGCCAGTTTCTCGCCTAATGTCAAAGGTCGGTTTTCTTCATCAATCACGCATGCTCGACAAACGATACATTTACTTTGTCAATAAATTTTTAAATTATTTAATTCGTGTCTTCTCTGATTTCCTTTTCTTATATCCATTATCAAGATACAATCGTGGATAAGTGTATCTGTTTTGCACTACAGTTATGATTAAGCATGTATTATCTGTGTACTTTATTCATTTCCTTTCTAGTATCGGAATCTGTAATCAGTAATTTTTAAAGTGCGCATCGACTTGGTATTTATAAACTCCCCTGCCGACTACCACAATTTCCGCTATTTCTTAACGACCTCCATTTCTTCGCCCTATAAAAAAATAATTCTCGGAAAAATGGCGGAAAAAGAATGGGAGAGGTGTCACTCGAGAATAAACAAGCCTCGTTTCGTTTTCATTCTCACGAATAGAGAGTGGCTTTCGTTTTTAACTATTTACAGCGCGGAGAAGAGTAAAGATTCTCTTGCTGACAAGTGGTAAGCACCCTCGCTGGTGGCATCGCGTTATACGTTGCTTTTAATACTAGTGTCAGTAGGGGGTCGGCATGGAGTCCAACGATTTGACCCCGACGAAACGCATGTAGCCCTGTCGGCGAACGTGTTGGTCTCGCTTTCATGGGAACCTGCTGGTGTTATGGCGCATCTGGTCTCGCGTTTTCTAGCTTGCTCACGGGTCGATCAATAGGCTAGGGAGGTGGCGGAGGCGGCTAACGGCGACTGTCCTGCCAGTGGCGGATCCAAATTAAAATTTGCATTTCAAATCAGGCATTATCAAGGGACAAAATACCATTTGTAACGTACCATTTGAGTCATATTATCTTCTGCTTATCCTTAATCTTGGGAAAAGTATTTTGATTTAGTTCCATTTGTTTCCATTCTCTATGTAAGTGTAAAGACATTTTTATTGCTTTTTAAATCACTATTATTAATTACTAGCTTAGTTATATATTTGTTTTATAAATACAATATCAAAGTACAAGTTACTTAAGTAATTTGAAGACTTTTCAATGGGCCATAGAGAAACACTTGGGGTGCGCCTTTATTTTACAGCACTGCGTCCGGATCACCGGGTCGTGAAGGCTGTAGGGGGCGCTCCGATTGGTCCAGCTCGATTTCGCGGGTTCGAGAAGACGCGCGTGCCAATAGGCCCGCCAATCGGAGCGACCTGCTCACTGTCAGTCAGTGGCCGCGCGTTGCCCACGTAACATCGTAACATTTCTGACTTGCAGTTATCTTCCATGATCGTTCTATAAATCCTCGATTGCCTTGCTTTTTCCAGTGTATGTACTTAACGATTTTGCTGAAACGAATATATAATTGTTTCATGCTCATTTATCTTATTCAATATTCGTGGAGTTTTTATTCTTACCTGTCAGAGGAAACAAGTGCTCTTTCGCACGCGTGTATCATGCCCCTTGAGCCTTTAAGGCGAGATCCGCTTGGAATTTGAACTGTGACAGTGTTCTGTCCGGATAAAAATAAATTCATAAATAGATATATATATTTCATAAAATAAGGTGGAAGCGGTCTACCAGAGAAGATTAATGATACCGAATAGTATCACCTGAAACACGATTATTAATAAGTATATCGATTTTGTTGGTAGCCGGTTTTTCGTTGAGCGATTTATCTCTTCGTACGGAAGGTGTGGCGCGAAAAGTATCGTGCACCAATAAGAAGCAGGTCGAGTGACATCGTCTCGTTTCACTTATGAATTTGCCCTATTTCCACGATGTTCAAGGTTAAGGAAACCCTTTGTCTGTAAGTACGTCGATGCAGCATCGAATATGTGTTTACGTGTTTCTTCAAGTGTGTTACCTCGCGATGTAGAAGACACGACTGCTGTCAACCGTTAGGGATCTGTCAGCTGAGCCTGTTAAAAGCGATTGGTCGCAACTGACAGGTTACGGTCCAATCGCGATCGCAAGTTTGCGGGCACTGCAGCGAACTATTGAGAATGAAATTATTTTCAAATGGCGCACAGGTACTGCTTGAATAAAATAGTTCAGATGAAAGATTAAAGGAAGTAACTTTTCTATGTTAGATATAAAATTAGAAATAAGTACGTATTTATAATTCTATTATTGGCACTCTATTCGATTGCTTGCAACTCTAGAGACTCTCGCTGTAAATTACGCTTCTTTTAAGTAAGAAATTTCATTTTAGATTTGTAACACTTAATCTATGATTCGTGTTGTTTAAATGTATATATATAATTATGGATTGTATGAAATATAGACTTCGATGAATAAGCTTTTTCATCGATATGATTTTTTAAGAATCGTATTAATCACTTTTTCCCGCTAAAGCTGTAATATAGGATATATTTGATTAACGTAGTACAGGTGGGTATAAATAAGCGAATTACGCATTTCGTTTATTGTTCTACCGCAGTCGTAAAGTATCCGAGGCTGCGTTTCTTTAAACATACATTCCAAATATATGATTCATAAGTCGTTCACGATTACGTGCGAGATGTAGGGTAAATGATTCGTGTCTATATTATATAAAGAATTATACTTAAATAGATAGATAAAGAATAAAAGCAATTACTTTTTCGTTATAGATCACTACTTAACATCTACTATATTTTTGTTTCACAAAAATCAGTATCGAATAAAACATAAATATACTACCAGTCCTGTGTAATTTTTCTGACAGAAATGTGGTACCATTCGGAAGAAATACAATTGGTCAGTACCGATAATACTTGCAACACTTATTGATTATTATTAATCTTCACTAAATACTGCCTGACCTGGCGCAGATTTGCGTGGAAAAGTGGCGTGCAAACACAACTACTCGGCATTTGACGTGCTTCAATTATAGGCTGAAACGTATCCTCAGTCAATGTTTGCGAAGGTCTCTATTTTTTACGTACTAACCACACAAATAAACTCGCGCGTTTCTACGTGTTGGGTATTTTCTAATCATCTGTTCGATCTATTCAATAAATCTAAACGATAGATAAAATGTCATATGAATCGACTTTAATCATTACACTGATAAAAGTTGATGGGATTTGTGAGAAAGCGTATCGAGAAATATTGATCGACACTCTCAAGGGAAATCTTGATTATAATGGATCTCTTTTTACGTTATCCGAGGGAAAATAGAACGACGTTAAAATAGAGTTCGATGGAGTTTAACGTTTCCTTTGCTCTTTGTTTTAAGGTTTATACCAATGATACCATGAAGTTGAACGATAAGGAGGAAGCAACAGCCTTCAAACGATCTGTGTCTTTTGCGAAATTGGATAGAAGATAAGCATTAGCGGCAAAATGTTAATAAAAGAGTATCGAATACCGCTGCCTCTCACCGTGGAGGAATATAGAATTGCTCAGCTTTATATGATAGCGGTAATTATTTCGCATCGCCTAGTCAGATCTATAGAAAACAAGTGTAATTAAGAACTTATTCATTTGTTTTTTCGATGTATATCTCGTAGAAAAAATCCCGAGAAGAAAGTCAAGGAGCAGGCAGCGGAGTAGAAATTATAGTAAACGAGCCTTATAGTAATGGTCCAGGTGGAAATGGACAGTATACCCACAAGATTTATCACGTGGGCAGTCATCTTCCAGAATGGTTCAAAAGTTTGCTGCCCAGATCTGCGTTGATTGCCAAGGAAGAAGCATGGAACGCTTATCCCTATACCAAAACCCGTTACACTTGTCCTTTTGTTGAAAAGTTTTCTATCGAAATAGAAACGTACTATTTTCCTGACAATGGTTACCAAGAAAATGTCTTCAAGCTCAGTGGTAGCGACTTAAGAAATAGAATTGTAGGTGTGTATCTACTTTTCTGACGTTCGAGTTTCTCACGGCTTAGCATTTTCTTATTCGGATTGTACACGACATTAAGTTCCGTCGGTATTATTAGTTACATAATTGAATTCCAGACTTAATTGATATCGTGAAAGATCAATATACGGGTGATTATGTAAAGGAGGAGGATCCCAAATTGTATGTTTCCCAAAAAACTAGCCGAGGACCTCTCGTGGATTCATGGCTGGAGGAGTATTGGAGTGACGTAAAAGTATAAATCTATCTTCCTTCATCTGCTCTGTTTGAATATCTCTCACTTGTTGATACTAATATATTCGATATATGTATTTCATTGTTCAGGGAAAGCAACAACCGACGCCATCTGGGAAGTCGTTAATGTGTGCGTATAAGTTATGCCGCGTCGAGTTCCGTTATTGGGGTGTGCAAACAAAATTAGAAAAGTTTATACACGATGTAGGTCAGTACTACACGTGAAAGACATTTGTTTACTTCTCATTCCTTAATGTACGATCTATCTAATCCTACCGAATTGTAATCTGTAACGAATTTAGCCTTGCGGAAAACTATGGTAAGAGCACATAGGCAAGCCTGGGCTTGGCAAGATGAGTGGAATGGTTTGACCATGGAAGACATCCGGGAAATTGAGCGCCAAACACAGCTGGCATTGCAAAAGAGGATGGCTAATGCAGAAAGCGGTGAAGAACCCATAGATAATGATAACCAAGAGAAGGCTATTTCTAATGCAAGTATGACTCCTCAAGAATCGGACGTTGCCATGACATTGGCTGCAACGCTCGGAAGTATTGAGAAAAATGAAGATCTCCAAAGTCCTCCAAGTGTTAGAAAATCGACCGATATACCGATGACAAATACAGCTGTTAGTTCGGAAGGTGAAGTGAGCCCCGAGGACTCGCCGACTGAAGTACCCGAGCTTAGGTAGAATAAAAATAGAAGTAAAATCAGGAACCGATTTATTTATGAGAGTGAAACTCTCTGCTCTAGTTGCAGTTTGTTTAATTTGTTTGAATTTATTTCAGAAGTGCCCCCACGGAAGAGAAAGCAGATACAAAGAAAGGATGGAAGAAGAACAGGGCAGCGATGAGTTCACCGTGTTCGAACAAAAGTTTCGACATGCAGATAGCGAATTGGCGTATGGAAAGTATCGTGAGAGAATCTGAATCTGGTAGTGAGGATGAATTCTTTGATTGTCAAGGTAAAACATTGATTTCTTTTCGCGCAGCATGTAAATAATTTTTTTAAAATTTATATGCGTAATACTAACAGTTGGCTAATGTAACTATTTGTAAGTTATAAAGCAAACGCTTCGGCGAATTTCTTAGACACTGTGTATGTTTTCTTTCGTCAAAAATAGATTAAATCTGAATAAACAAGTAAGAAATATGTTAAAGGTGAACACAAATAGTGTCTGGTAGAAGTTCGCATTTTGTAAAGTAGAAAATACAGCATGATGATTGGTGATGATATTTTCTTTTTTTTTATATGTGTGCCCTCTCTGTTTTTTATGTCGCATTCAACACTGCAGCTGGGTTCGTTATACCTATTATATGCGAAGGTAGGACATGTAGATAATGACAAATTATTAGAATTATATATATATATATTTTAATATGTTTGTCGGAAACATAGTCAAAGGATAAAAGACCAACATTGATGCTAGTGTTAGTATCCTCTACATAAATTTAGAAACATTGCGTAATTGCATTCATGCCTTTCTTGATCGAAACAAGACGAACTTATGGCTTATAGAAATTTACACTTACAAAAAAATTTGATTGGTTACATTACATACAGATGTTCATACATAACAGCAAGCATGGAAGTTCTGAAGAAACAGTTTATAATAGCATGAAACAGCATGGCTATGTAGATCACAAAACAACTGCTTTTTTCTGAAATATTTAAAAAATATTAATAACAAATATCAATGTGAAATAATTGTATTAAATAAAGTAAATACTATTGACTTTATATTTCTAATATATCTTTATCATTTTCTTCCTTGTGTAACGCCTAATCCAAAAAAGGAAAATTCCCTAATTTGTATTATTCTATTCCCGCCTTAATACGAGTCACGGATGCTAAAAAAGGCACGATGCATAAGCAATGTTAAAATTTCTGATTATACAGAGGACTTTGAAGATAACTCTTCATTAGCTAAATGGAGTTCTTTGGATCTTCTAGCAGAAGAGGAGGACAATACGTTCACTTCACCCACTATGGCAAACAAAGAAGGTAAATAGTCATTAGCAATCCAAATGTTTATATTTTTCTTAATTATTATTAAAATTTTTTCAATTTGTATTCGTAGACGACACGATATTTTCACCTTCGTATCTGCAACGAATGGCTAGTGAACGTAGCAGTAAAAGGTTACAAATCTCTGCTTCAGCCAGCATAGATGCATCATGTCCAGCTTCACCTCAACATTCGCCAACGCATCAACCGTGCAAGACTACTGTCCTTCTTATTGTAATGCATGCTGGCAGTGTATTAGGTAAGTCCATAAATAATTGTTTTAATCTATTATTATCTAATGAGTGTATTTTCATTAAAAAAAATATGTTTTAGACGCAAATGTTGATTTAACGGCTAAAAAATCGGACATAACAACATTTAAAGGGGCCTTCGAATCAGTTATGAGACAACACTATCCTAGTATGGTTGGTCATGTTGCCATTAAGTTTGTTTCCTGCCCATCTATTTGCACTGAAGGACTTGGTATTTTATCGAGGTAAAAATCATATAATTTGATGAAAGGTGTTATATTTCATCTGTTTTTTATAAATTTAAATTTGATTTATTTTATTTCAGTTTAAGTCCGTATAGTTTCGATGTGTCACCTTCTTCTACGGACACCCCTCAAGTAACACATGATACTATTCCAATTGGTGCAATACCTCTACTTGCTAGTTCCACTCCTGAATATCAGGATGCCGTCTCTCGAGTTATAGCTGGAGCTAATCAAGTTTATCATGATTTTATCAAAAGCGAGGAAGGTCGTGGTTTCATGGGACAGATTTGTTTTATCGGAGACTCTGTAGGAGCAATTTTAACATATGACGCACTGTGTAAATCAACTCATTCTAGACATAATAGCGAAAACAATATTTTGGATAATCAGGGCATTGAAAATAGTATGAACGCGGAAGATGGCAAGCATCTGACTGCACCTTCTCCTAGAAGGAAATCTTCTAGTATAAGGTGATGCATTGTAACTGAATTTATATTCGCACAGATTTAATGAAGATATAAGATCGCATTGAAAAACTAACGTATTCTTTTTTTTAGTGATATTTCTCATTGTAAATTGGATTTCGAAGTAGGAGAACTTTTCATGTTTGGTAGTCCACTTGCTCTAGTATTGGCATATAGAAAAATCTCTTCAGATAAAAGTAGTAATATAAGAAGACCATTGGTGAATCAGGTGTATAATTTATTTCATCCTACTGATCCTGTAGCTGCTAGATTAGAACCACTTATTTCCGCAAGGTTCTCTCTACTTCCTCCTGTGAATGTGGCTCGATATCTAAAGTATCCACTAGGAAATGGTCAGCCTTATCATTTATGTATGTATTACTTATCCGACATTAAATTTTATACAACTTACATGTTTTGTAATAATGTATTAAATATTTTCAGTGGAAGCTCTCCAGACAAATCCACAATTATTTACGGATGGATTAAACATTCCAAATATGTCAATGTCTCACGTGAGGAGACTATCCGATATATCGATTCAAAGTACAATGTCCGGTATGGTTGAAAATGTTCCTTTACAAATAGTATCTAATTGTAAGTAAAAGATAAAATTGGCAATGTAAAGAATATTTACTTATTATATGTACTTTGAATACTATGTTACAGTGACGCAAAAATGGTGGGGTAATAAGAGATTAGATTATGCTCTCTATTGTCCAGAAGGTTTAGCAAATTTCCCCACAAACGCTTTACCTCACCTTTTTCACGCTAGCTATTGGGAATCTTCTGACGTTATCGCATTTATCCTACGACAATTAGGCAGATTTGACTCGCCATTACTCACAAATGAGGAGAAAGATTTAAGTTGTTTCCGTCCAGGTCAACCTAGAGAAAAGTGGAATAAGAAACGTACTTCCGTTAAGCTTAAAGTAAGTTGGAATAACGAAGAAACTATTAATATAAATATTTGACTTTTAATTTTCTATTTTAGAATGTCGCTGCCAATCATAGAGCAAATGACGTAATTGTTAGAGAAGGAGCACCGCAAGTGCTGATTGCTAGATTTATGTATAGTCCAATTGACGTTATCGCTTTAACGGGTATGTTAAATATATCATGTGCATATGTATATCTTTTTCTTATAGTATTTTTTATGAATATATGCAATTTTCACAGGTGAAAAAGTGGATATTCATATTATGAAAGATGCTCCAGCAGGAGAATGGACTTACTTATCAACTGAAATAACTGATAAGAATGGTAGAATAACATACAAAATACCCGATGATAAAGCATTGGGATATGGACTTTATCCAATCAAGATGATTGTGAGGTAATATTATTCTTCTATAATTAAAATAAAATGGTCCAAATATATCTAAAACTTAGTTTCCGATTGTCAGAGGTGATCATACATCAGTAGACTTTTTCTTGGCTGTGATTCCACCGAAAACAGAGTGCGTGGTATTTAGTATAGATGGATCATTTACAGCGAGTATGTCTGTAAGCGGAAAGGATCCAAAAGTTAGAGCTGGAGCTGTCGACATTGTCAGGTATCATTTAAGTCGTATAAAAATTTCCCTCTGAATATATAATTCCAGAATCCATGATTATTTTGATTATGATTCTAATCAGGCACTGGCAAGAATTGGGATACTTAATCATTTATATTACCGCAAGACCTGATATGCAACAGCAGAAAGTTGTTTCCTGGCTGTCTCAACACAATTTTCCCCATGGCCTTGTGTCTTTTGCGGACGGTCTCTCGACAGATCCACTTGCTCATAAAGCTGCGTACTTAAATAAACTTGTAGAGGTGAATAATTGCTTGAAAATATGCAATGCTCGTTTTAATTCTTGTTTACAATGATGTTCAAACAATGGCTTTTATGTTTAGGAACACGGTGTAATAATTCATCATGCATATGGCAGTAGTAAAGATATTAGTGTTTACACTACGATTAATCTTAAGCCAAATCAAATTTTCATTATTGGAAAAGTGCCAAAGAAGCACCACCCTTTGGCAACAATCCTTCATGATGGCTATGCTGCTCATTTAAGTATGCTACAGGCGCGCGGAGGCTCGAGACCAGCTCAGGGTAATGCACGTATGGTGATCCCAAGAGGTCAGTTCGGTTTACCCGGACAAAACGCTTCTCTACGGCGAAGAAGGTGAGCTATCTATTCTGTGATCAAAATAATTTGATGTGGATACTGTGTTTGCTTACACCTCGCCATGATGTGGAAATTTTTAAGGTAATAATTCTTTCAATCCTTGCTATCCTCGACGTTCAGATGTTTTGGTTGCTGCAGAATGGTGGAAATGTGCATATGCAATAAATGTTGTCCCTTAGAAAGAAGATATGCAGAATGGGCGTAAGGCATTTCGGAGAATAATAAGAATTCTATTGTCTGTACATAGATAATGCTGTATTTTTATAGCTCTACATACTGTGATCAGTATGAAATTTTAAGCAAAGGTAGTTGTTTCAGAGGCGATCAATGACGCGTGCGATCATCGTATTCGAATCGCACTCATCAATGTTTACTAAAACCCCAATTTATATCGAGAGATTTCTCTGTAAAACAATCATAACTACGAAAACAAGGTACATAAATTGAATAATCTAAATAGTCTCAATACGGTGTAATTTGCAAAATATTTAACAAACGATATAGACTACGATAAACCATAGACGAGGAACGATATCCTTAATAATATTAGGAATTCATTTGTCTATATCGTATGTTTGCGTATAAAAGCAACAGGAAATATTTATCTCTACGTCATTCGCTCTCAATTCAATTTCAGCATAAAAGTTACTTTCCTAGTCCATATTAATTATTTTATCGTAGTTAGACTTTTAGTATACACGTGCACAGGACTTACTCGTTAATATTTCTCATTTCTCATTTTTACTTGTCCTCCGTGTATTGAATGTTGGATTCATAAATGGAAAGATTATCTTTTGATAAATTTTATTCCAATTTTAAATCAATGTTAAGGGTACTTGATACCAATTGGAGCAACAAAAATTCGTTTCCTAATGTTGGAGTGATGCACAACCTATTCTAATAACTTTTAATATATCTACAACATTTTTCTTTTAGCTACTAGTTAAAAGGTTTAAACGGTGTTTAAAGCTTATCAGTTTCTTAATTACAGGTACCTGTTATGAAGATATGTTACGCGGCGTAGTCAATATCGTGCTCTCGGCAAGAGCCGCCACCATTCTACGCTCAAACTTAATGTTTTATCTATCAGCCATACACATGTCCAGAATTTGTGGTTAATCAACTATGAGTGTCTAGATGTACACAGAATTAAAAGTTTTTTCGTTACTTCCTGAAAATGGTCTGATCTCACTTTAGCGACCAAGGTAAATTAGAGCCCCTTATCGCTTGAAATCTGTTAGGTGAATGTCTGTGTTATAATGAACATTAAGCTAGATCCACCACAAATGGCGCACGAATTGTAAAATTAATCAAGCAATTTTCAGAAATTTATATTTCATTTTAATTATCAGCAGAAATTAAGTATCTTATATTTATAAGCAATCCTTTGTTTCACGGATACCTTGTGTAATACTTAGCTTTTGCAAAATTCTTTTGCAATTTAATTCTTTGTTCAATTTAGCTAATTATACAAATAATTTCTACCATTTACTTTTAATAAATTATATTTAGTAGCATTTATATTTTTGTAAGCCAAATTTCTGATGTATCGTGCGTTTCCATTCGCTGGTTGATCAGGCTGAAATCTTGCTTGTACAAAAGATGAACAGCACGATTGAATATGTAATAGAACAAAAGCTCTGACACGATGCACGATTATATATGTGAATGCCATTTTAAAAAATACCACAATTCACGGACATACGGTGTATTATCGAATGGAGAATCACGCGTTTTACAAATGTTGTTTAAATATGCTTTATGACACGATATATTCAACTGTCATTTTTAGCTGTGTATATAACCCTTACAAATGGAGCGGATATGCAGAACCTGCAACGATTAAAATCACTTTTTACGTGCTCGGAGCCAGTTGGTTTTAATCCTGCTAATCCACTTCAGTTAGAAGATTAAACCGAGCTGACTCCTTTTATTTCATAATTTGTTCTACCATTCTTATATTAAAATAACTACCATTGTGGAACATTTATTTAGGAATATCTTTGATCACTTTCAATAATTGAATCTGCGTGCACCAATTTTTCAAACTTTTCAAATGTCTCCACAATGGAAGATATGTATATTTATTTATTCATTTAAGGAATGAGCGATTAATCCACTATCTGCATCGCTGTCATTACAGACGGGACAGCTGTTCTCATCGTCATTCGATCACTCACTAATGCTTCTTGTTCATGGAACTGTTACATTTATATCACGCTTTCAGTATGAAATCTAAACACACCGCTAGCTCTACTATGCTGCTAATCCATGTCCTCATCTGCTTCCACGATCGGCGATATTGATTAATCGATGCAGTATGTTTCTTACAACTATCCTACGGTTTAAGAGACCCGTCATCACGATACTTATATATCTTAGTTTTAGTCTTTTAGACGGTAGCGAAATCATATATCTAATTATAATAAATAGTAACGTTTAATAAGAGAAGAAAATAGCAGGATGAGAGAATACATTGAGAGTCAGTAAGAAAAATGTTAGTAGAGATGTTACATATCATAGAATATTAACAAAAATATTAGCGTTGAAAAATTCGATGTATAATTCAATTTTTTGATTTATCTAAACATTGTTATCAGTAAAAAATAATAGCATTTGTTCTTCAGGCATGACTCATGAACCCCGCAACTAATACTAAACCGAACTCGTTTAACGCTTGTCCCGTTTCTGACTATTCTACGATGTTCTTGTCTCTTTCTGACATTCAGATATGCCAAAGAAATTACACTGATCAAAGCAATTTTGAATGAGAAACGAAGGTACTGCCATACCTCTCTAAGAAGTCTCCTCAATCGTTTTGATCTATGTATTAAATAAGTGCCCAGGTTAATAAACAGTAGGCATTGTTATTTATTGCCATAAATATATATTGGACTTTCTCATGTATCGTTTACTAATGAACAACGAACGGTAGCTCTTTTAGGCTGGCAAAGCGTGCAATATCTCAACCTACTCCGGGCAAAACGATCTACCCACTGGAACGATCAACGAGCGTTGGGCCTTCAATTTCGTCGCATACCGCATCCACCATCAGATCTACGGCACCAGAGAAGCTTTGACGATTCGCACGCTGCCGGTCGTTCTTTGAGCCTCGGAACTAGCTGTACAGATACCCTTAAAGTACGAGGATAGTTCGGAGAGGAAGTCCTCGTATATTTCGACCGACACGTGCTCAACAATCTAAAGAAGATAATTCTACTTTGTTACTCCGCCTTTTTATATCCTCTCTGTATACCTATTGTAAATTTTAAAACGCTATTCGGTATGACGAATCTATGTTGTATAAAACGCGATAAGCTGTATATGCTTCCCCATCTGAAGGATCTTTCTAATGACGAAGAAATGGTTTGAACGTACGAGGACTTTGTCTTTCATCTCTTTTAACTGTTACTGAATCAGCCAGTATTTTAAACGATAAGATTGATTTGTTTTTTACCGTTTTATTACCAGAGCTTTTTTCTAGCGATCTTTCCGGGTAAACTGACACAGCATCTTTTGCGAAGCGCGATCGAGCACGATCAAAATTTTTGATAATGTAGTTCGAGATATGAATCTAGTTCCTAAATGTAGATCGTCAGGAAAGTGGTCTCCTAGAAAAAAAGCGCTGTCTTTCTTAGTATCGTTTATCATTGTTTAATTTTAATCGGTTTCACGAACGAATTCGGATCGAATTTCCGATATGCATCTGCGAACTGTGTGTATGTACAATCATATTTTACCTAGTTGAACCGTATCGTTGCTCTAATCGTAGTTCGTAAGATATAAGAAAAGAAAAAAAGATAAAAGGGGATAGATCAGATTGATTGAAATTGTTACCTGAATCTTCTTCGTTATTGCCGAGGTAAATCTGATATTAATCATGACATTAATCGTTAGGAGTAATTAGTCTGTAAACATCCTGTTATTATAGTAACTCTAATCATTGCCAAGAGTTATCAAATATAATTATATACGCGTAATGTTGTGCCCAAGTTCCTTCGGTGCTATGTTATTTTCAACTATTCATATCGATTTGTAAGAAGAGACGGGAAGAAAATGCAATTGATGCGAAATAAAAAAAACAAAACAGAAAAATAAGAGAAAACACAAGAATTACAACACACGTTTTGTACGTTGTCTATCGAGAAGTATCGAGAGTACGATAGTATGTTCTCCGATAAACGTTGGTACAAAGACACTTCCCTCTTAATTGCTGTAGTTCCATGTCGTTCTAGCCAGCGATATATGTAAATATGTCAAAGTGTACATAAATAAATATCGCTGTAAAATGTTCATGGATGAAATGTTTAGGATACGCAAATATTGATTTACTAAATAGTTGCTCTGCGAACTTCGTCAGCGAAAGTACTGTCCAAATGATAATAAAAGTATGATAGTTTCTTCGACACGTATGACATAGCTCGATGACGAAGCACGTTGGTGTTTATTATCGAATACGTTCTCAAAGATTGTGCGCTTAAATATTTGTAATTAGGTGATTAATTATTGTGTCCGGTCTCAGTCGGGGAAATATATTTAATTTTTTAATCGGTAACGAATCGAATTATCGCGTCGCTTGACATGCCGTGACAATTGACTAGCACGATAGTTACTTAGCGTTAGAAGAAAAGTCAAAGAATCGATCTTGAACTGTACGAGCAGCGATGTCTTAAGTAAGATGCAGACAGAAAGTGATACAATTTTTCGTCGAATCTTGTATCATGATAAACGACGAATCATTCTTTTTTTTCTTTATTTTCCTAGAACGGATGGTTTGATACCATAGAAGGAGTTAGATTAATAGAGGGATAATTAATTAAACTCATTGTTATGCCATCATTGTTCCTTGACTGTTTCAATAATACTAGTAGCTGGTCAAACATCTGCCATTGATCTAGTCTTGACATTGTAATAAACAGAATCTACGTATAATATTTAGCGCTGGCTTCACCGAAATGTGAAGAAAATTGATTAATATCCAACAGAGATATTGACTGTTTGTATTATTGTAAAGAGGCACGAATATAGTTGTGTATATGGACATACCATATAGGTATAGAATTGTACATCTATAACAGCGTGGCCGTGTATATGTATACATATGTATGTATATAACTGTGTATATGTATATATAGGGTGTTTCAGATCTGTGTAACTTTGTTGAGTCGTCTACAAATTGTTAGAAGAACATTTGTAACAGAGATCTTATGAAAATATTTATACTAGATATGTGGATCTCGATCGTTTTTTGCATTGTTAGTTCAATATGAACAAAATTTTAGAGATTGTTTTACGAATGTTGAGAATGTTATTTATTTTCAGAAACGGAATATAAATCGTGTCAGACTAACTGGTAAAGTTATTCGCGAAATGCCCTTTATATGTATGTATACGATAACATAAATGTTTAAGATATACATATATATATATTTATTCTTAGGCGTAATAAGTGACTGCAAGAGGATATTTTACTTATATGAATGAATTATTGTCACTGGTAATAAGAATTATATTTTTTTTAGCGTAACTTAAATGACATGTTGTAATAACTAATCGAGAATCATTGTTTTATATTGTGCGACCTTGCTCTAATTGTAACAATTATTTCATATACCGTTGGCACATGATTTTTTTAATCAGTCAGCGGAAAACGACTTCAATTTCTAATAGGATGCCTGGCCGATAAAACTGTATTCTACTTTTGTCATTGGGTATTACAATAAATTATAAATCATTGTCGTTTAAATTGTCTCCTTTAATTATTTGTAAATATAATACTTGCATTAATTCAATATTTTCTGTTGAACACTTTCAAGCATATCGAATTCTAAAATGATTCAACTTCAAATTTAAATGGGATTTGCGTTTGCGCACTACGTTGAAATAGGGAACACGTATTTCTTAAGCATCAAGTGTTCGATTACATTGAGTGCTTTGTCTTATTTGTTTTCATAAAATTCTTCGAATATTACAGTGCGCAAAAGACATGGAAAAAATGAAATTAAGTCCAACAATAGATATGAAATTAAGGAATAGGAATAGTATAAATAAACTGAAACATAGTTCTCCAAAATTGCAAGAAGTCTTAAGAGAGGTTAGCTGTCTTGTATCATTTTCAAATTTCCAAATTTATAATTTTGTAAAACTAAAACTAATAAAAGTCGTATGATCCAATATAATGTGTTATTAATTATATCGTATTCTAACAAAATTTGTTTGCCTATGTAATAAAACTTAATTTTAGAGGTGCCGACAAAGAATGCGAGAAAAACGAGGACAATTATTTAATAAACGTAGATTTGGTTTGGAAATCAATTCGAAAAATGTACAAGATACATTAACTGAAATCGTTCGTAAAGAATTAAAAAATCTCGCAACTACAGATCTAGATCCAACTTTAAACCCCTTTTCTCCCATTGTAAATGAACCACTTGACCCAGAAGAAGCACTTGAGCTTGAAAATGAAATACTCAATGAAGAAGGTGAATCAATAGAGTTTTCTTTTATTTTGCATATGGCATACAATAATATCTGTATATCATTTATAGAACAATGGATATTACAAGAATATGAAAAAATGACACAAGAAGAAATTGAATTATTAGCCATGGTTGCAGATCAAGAAACTGATGAAGTTATTTGTCCTATATGTCAGATATCTAATTTGATAGAGAAAGAAAATAAAGTAAGTTGTCAATCTTGTAACTTTGTATTGAATAATTGTATTAATGTAAAGGAAGTGGGATATCTCATTAGGCAATGTGTAGATACCCATTCTATAGGATGTAAAGAGTCACCTGGTTTTTTACCAATTGCTGAGAACAATAATATATCGTTATATTTAATATGTGATCAGTGTTCAACTTGGACATCAATAATCTAAATTTTTATTTTTTTCAGTTAGAAAAAATTTCAAAAATTTATGCCATTAATAAAAATAACTATATTTTTTTATACGATTCATGCTCAAATTAAGCTTTTAGTCATAATTGTTTGATAAATAATGTATTTAGGAAAAATTAACATGAAATTTAATATTGGATATCATATTAATATCCAATGAAAAATGTGATATAAAACACATTTTTTTTTTAGTTAACTAATTGAAAAAAATTGAAAGATGAATAATTTTTCATGTTAAGCTTATAGGAAAAAAGAAAGTAAAATTTAATTCCAGAGGTAACCAACTGAATAACAATACATGAATTTTTATATGATTATATGATACATATTGTACAAAAACATCCCTTTCTGTTTTGTTTATATTATTCATCACTTATACATATACAATGTAAAGTTATACAAAAGACAACTGTATATTGTAATGATTAATTGAATATGTATTCATAAAATGTAAAATATATATTTTAGTAATCAGTAAAACAGCTTTAGAAATTCTCAAAGATTATTTGCCGCGTACAACGTACAACGTTGCTATGTACAATCGGTATTTAAAGATAACAATGTTCCAATATACAGATGTCTTTTATAGCTTAAGCTCTAATATCTGAATTCTTTTATAAATGATTTGTACATTATCACATGAAATTTCGTATTAAAAACTTCATATTTTGTAACATTAATAGTATATAATAAACTTGTAATTTGTGAGCAACCCATTTTTCGCTTCATATTCATTCAATTATCTCCAATATAAACTTTTCATTCTGTTAAAGTTATTACTATGCAAGTATCAACAGCTGTATATTCATCATAGAATATAAAGTTGAAGTTGAAAATATTTTAACATATTCAATTTTACACTGTAGCTTTCATGGTAAAAAAGATAATTAGTTACATATTTGTCAAATATTTACAATTTATGTTTCTGACACCAGACTTTCGTTACAACTTCATGGCACCAACATCATTTAGGTATACTCAAGTATAAATTTTTATGTGATGTAAAAGAATTTCATCAATTACTTGATGTTAATTTACTATGAAAAATTCTTCATTCGTCAATCTTAATAAAAGAATTTCTAAATTTAATGATTTTTTAACGAAAGTTATTTATATTTCAACTATTATAAAAATATATCGACAACGTAACATACGATTGAGTCCGCAATATAATTTTTACAAATACATCTGCCTTAAAAGTAGTAAGAAACGTTATGTAAAAAGAAACAGAATAATTTTAAGAAATAATGATTTCTTTCTCTTCTCTTTGCCACAAATATAGTACTTAGTGAAAAACAAGCATAGTAAAAAATATAATGGAATGGTTTGCTCTAGATATTTTTCCTTCCTTTTTTTTTCTGTGTTACATGTATATGTAGGCAAGCATAAGAACGAATTCGATGAATGAATACAAAAAAATTGAAAAAAAAGAGAAAAAAAAAGAAAGGAATTTATTATAAAAATCTGTTATCGCAATTCATGAATGCAAAGTTATATATAATTTTTTTTTAATGCTGAATGAACATAAACACGTAATGTTCATAATTATGTAATAAATATAAATGTATTTTCATTTTGTTAATATCTTATACGAATAATTGCGATAACCACTATAAAAAAAGGATGTTCAAATCTCAATGTATTCCAAATTTATAACAGTCTGTATATAATAATATATATTTTTTTAAACGTTTGTGAGTAAATTCATGTACATCTTCACATACTCTTTTTTTTTTTTAACAATCAGTTATCATTAAATTTTATGATCACAATTTTGAGAAGGATAGGAAAAAATTGCACTTTAAGTTCTTTCCATTCTCAACCGCAATCGTTGCAAAAAGAAACCTGAAAGTTTACTATAAAAAAAAGAATCGTCTTAAGAATTTTCACGTAGTTTCTCTCCGAAATTGGCTTACTGCTACGGTAACTGCTTTTCTTTCGCTCGTTCCTTTAAACGTATAAACAAATCACGTTTCACGACGAATTCGCATATTATAATTGGTCACTGAGTTGATCGTCGCCGTTCCGTATGATTGACTGCTGCGAGTGCTTCTTCGGGTAGGCGACCAGGATCTGATAGAATATCAGTGGCAGTAGACAGATATCTTAGGGAGTTCAGAACGGCTACAATCAAAAGTACCAAGTAATTAATACTTTCACTATTATAAATATAATCTAATAATACCTATATTTCCGTATACATGACTTTACTGTACCACTTTACTATTTTCCTTCGATAGACACGAACCTGGTCTGAGATCGACGAGTGAACAATGTTGCTCAACCCACAATATTGTACTTCTGCATAGATCTTCGATACTCGCGGTTGATACCGAGGTATTGAAAGAAATCATCAGAGGTTCCAGTAATATACTGAACTAATTATTTTATAAGAAAATATAAATTTCGGTATTTTAAAGGTAGAATCATAAGCAAAAAAAAGAAAAGGGAAATCATATCAAATGCTTTAGAAAAAGGATACAATCCAAAATTTCCAATTCTCCCGTGTACGTGCGCGTACATATTCGTCGAACATCTCCTTCATTTTACTAGTTCTGTGTCTAGAAATTGGAGCACCCGTTGCGGGAAGCATAGATTGACAATTACTGCAATAGAATATTCAATATATAAATATTATATAATCTTCTTCAAATATAATTGCCTTTTCCTTTTGTACTTGACTTTCTTATTACCTAATCGACGTATTAAGGCACTCGATTTGATGCTTTAAACTATCCATCTCCTCTTTCAACTGATTCCGCTCTGTCCTTAACTGCCTAATATAATCTGCTCCTTTTTGCAGCATAGCAGCTTTGCTCATTTTCGTATTCGGATTTTGACTAAGCTGCGGTATTAAGCTATGCAACGTATCAAATCCATTTTTAATATTGTATCTACGCTTTTGTTCTGCGTGAATGTGCCCGACTCTCCTTTGTTCTTTATATTGTCCCCGTTCTGTTTCACCCTTTATGTAACCACGACTCGGTGACAATGGGCTCCCTATACTCATAGGGCTATGCAAAGGACTGAGACTTAACCCTTGAGGACTGTGCGCGTTAGAACTATCCTTCGGTGACCCGGGACTATTTTGTGGCTGATGCGCTTGGGTGTTCGTATTTAATAACATTTGTTGGCCGCAAGTACTCTGCTGCATTGCCTAATATATAATATATAATTAAACATGTTATATATTGTACAAGGTGAAGATTTATTGTCGGTCTCGATATTATGTAATCTATATCTTTATATGAGTTATTAGTGGTTCAAACTAAAGAGTTACTCTTACTATAGGTATCATTATAATATAGAAACTATAAATTGATTGTACAACACTGAAAGAAACTTGTTTCTTGAACATTGATTTAAATAATTTTTGACTTCAAAATATAATGCTATATAAGAAGATACCTGCTGTTGTGGTTGCACTTGCACTGTTGAGGTTTGCATAGTTTGGACAGTGACCGGTGCAGTAATATGGTGAGTGGTCGTCACCTGCGAAGGCGAAGCTGAAGGTGGAAGCATAGGTAAGATGTGTTTCATAGTAGTGGTTGTTTGGTTCACTGTCGGCATTATATTATCAGCCGGCATATTCATTGTGTGTACACCAGATGTGTCTATGTAATGATAGTTAAGTTCTCATAATATTCCTTATCGACAAAATAAATAATACCGTGCGATCGATTTATCAAGAATTTGCGTGTTATGTTGCCATTAAACGATTCATAAGATATATGTGAAAGTTAACCATACAAAGGTTACATTTCTTAGAATACATACTATTTGTGAGTAACTGTGCGAGCAAAACATTGTTATTTAGATTTAGAGCAGGATCGCTCGCCGCTGATACTAATGGTGCTGGGTGCATTCTTGGTGCAGTTAACGACGAACTACTTCGAGATCTATTCTTTACTTTCATCTGAAACTGAAACGAAAAACATTATTACTGTAAATATTTCTAATTTCTTACGCTATATCAAATACAAATATTTATTCCTAAATGTATGGTAACAAATTTATCATAATTTATATACCAACCTTGGGTACAGCAAAAACTTCCTCTTTCTCCGAATTCGACACGGTAGGTTGCGGTAACAATTTTGTGGGTTGTACGGTTGGCGTGGTGAGATCCAAACCGGAGGGTCTGCACTGTAACAGTATCGACGGTTGCGACGGTTGTTCCGCAGAAACCGATACGACTTGTTGTGGTGGGTGTGTCTGAAAAATATTACGATAATCTGATTCTGTTGCTAATCATAGTTTCTTGTTTCGTTGATGCATTATTCAAATGAAACACGACTTATCACGCCATATCTGCGAATACCTTGAAATTATTGGTGTTGAATTTACATTGCTGCGCATTAAAGTTTTGCGGAAGAGTGGAGAACTTATAACATGGTTGCGGTTGAACGACTTTGTACGGCTTTGTTGATATAGGTGCGACTGGTGGGAGAGGTCTAATACTCCTGGGCTGAGTCGACACTGTAGAATTCGTTTGTCCAAAATTTTGTTGTACAGTCACCAAATTTTGACCATGACCAGCAATAGATGAAATTTGAGATGCGTGAACAGACTGATCATTTAACGTTGTCATTTGCACTTGATTTTGAATTGGTGTTAGCTGAACGGGATGAATCTCCATAGCGTAAGGTTGCTGTGAAGCTTGTTGATACGTTGAATTTTGTTGTGTAGTTCGTTGATACGTGTTTCGTTGTTGCTGAGATTGCTGAATCACTCGATTAGTCCTTGTAGACATTCTACTTGGTCGACTCTTTTCCCTGACAGGTTGACTGGTTGGAGAGGGTACATAGCTTTGTTGGATGTTACTGAACGTCTCACCCAGAGTACTATGACGTAGATGTAAAAAATAAAATAGGATTTCATTGCAAAAAATTCTAAGTAACAGATAATTAATACTCACATAGTATTCCTGAACGCATTTGTTGGCTCTGGTTGAGGTTGAGTATATATTTTAGCGGTATATTGAAGATTCTGTATAGTACCTCCTTGTTCGTTCTGTGCTAACGCTGGCTGGTGTGAGGCTTGCTCATTCTTTACCGCCGATTCTTGGCTCAACTCGTTGATCTGATTCATAGGCGTCATCAGGTCAAGATCAGGATAGTTTGCGTTTAAGGTACTGTTTCGAAACATGTCGTCCTCCTCGGGAACAGGGGGCAATTTCGAATTTAAAAATTCTAAAAGATAATATTAGCAATGATTACCATTTATCGATAAATCATTATCCGTTTCATGTTGATTCGCTACCTTGTAACGGTTCAAGAGTGTCCATAAAATCATCTAAATTTGGCTGGAGCGGTCCCAGGCTCGGTTGTATAAAATCCGCCAGACTAGCTCCTCGCGCTGCAATTATAAACAAGTACTTGAAATAATATTTATCATGTAATTTGTTTTTTCATTCACGTATTAATCAGATCTTTTGATTTCGCTTTAATTTCAGTTGTTTTTGTTCCATATTACAATTCGTAACCATCGATATACATATTCTTATCGCTTTCATCCGTGTCGGCGTTCCTTTGTCGTTCTTTAACCGTACTCTTGTGTAACAATTTGATTTAGCAAGTTACCAATTTCTCTGGGATCGGGAAAGTATATTGGTTGATTTGAACTGATTGTTGAAAATAACGTATCAGTCATAAGGTCCATGTAATCTTCATCAACCATCATACTCTCTCCTTCTGGAGTCCCACTGGTCTCTTCGTGTGTGTTGCCTGTACCTGCTCCAAAGTTGCCCGAGGTTCCCAATCCATTGCCCCAACCTAATACGTCCATCGATTCCATCTGAAATGATACCGTTTTCTACTGTGAATAAGAAATATCAGTGATCCTTAGAAAATCGGTAAAATCGAGATACAAAACATTTTTAAAATTCTTTCTGCTCCCATTAGTATTTATTTCCGGGGAGAATTCGAAAAGCAACAATTATTATCAGAAATAGTATTTCATTTTTTTTCGTGTAAAAACAATTTATATATCCAAATTTGTAACTTTTAGGTAGATAAATACCATCTCGGTGCCATCCTTGTTCGTGCAGCCAAGGATCTTGTTCCGGTAGAACATACGCCATTTCTTGTACTCTGCAGTGACGGCGGCAAGTTTTCGCTTCCAATATTTTCCCTCTAAGACGACCGCCTGATAAAAACGCATCTTTGAAATTTATTACCAAGCTACAAAAGTTTACAACTGAAATCGATCAAATTCCCTTATTCCAAACTACAGGGTGTTTCAATTATAGTGTTATATCAAATAAAAAGCATGAAAAAATAATTTGTTCTTTATCGCTTTAATGCTTTTTTAACATTAAAAGTTGTCGAACAAAAATTGCATTTTCCACTGATTTTTCAGTATCATCTTTTTTTCTAAACATAGCGACCACCGTACGATTTCTGATTGCAAAATAACGGAAATTCAACAGACACGATTTAGACATTCCATTACCCTGTATTTACAAAGCCCGTTTGAAGTGCATACGTCACAGGCTTCTTAACTCAATTGTAATCTATTTTAAGTACGGATTGTTTAACAATCACTGTTTAAAGATAGAAAAGCTTTCAAGACACGTTCGACTTTCGTACGTGTACTTTCATGTTACTTTTGTATTGTTCTGATTTTGAAGCATTTAGCAATGATAAAGGCACAAGGTCGACCAAAACGCAGTTATCTTCGTCAACTTGTAATTCTAAGTAATCTCCTTCTATCTTCTAAAATTAAAAAAGGACAAATAAAGACATATCGTTGCATTTCCTTTGCTTTATACTTTGAAACACCCTATATTAATACATCATCGCAAAGACGATGCTTCATAAGCATGAAACGTTTATCACCCGATGATAAGCAAACGTACCTCGGGTTTATTATGAGTATCAACATCCAACGGAGACGCGAACTGGCACACCAGCGTGTTCTGCTTCAATATAACTGAAACGACATAAATTCATTTTACTCCAACACAATTCAGTGACCATCGATCCTTTGAAAAAAAAGAAAAAAAAATAGCAAAAAAAAAAAAAAAAAATTGAACTCTTATATTCTTATTTTCAACACCTGTTTTAACAAATAAAAGAATTCCAGTCGCGATCACGGTGTCGTCGACATGAGACTCAGTGCGCGTGCACCGATTCAAAGGAACCACGACCGACCGAAAGCGCCTCCAAAAGTAGCGGCAACGCAATTTTAGTTGACAATGCCTCCGTTCGTGTCGCGCAAGCTCTTCGTTCGATTTATACGTCACAAGCGGCCGTACTTGGACAAGGGGATAATAGTGTTCACGTTGTACACAAAAGAATCACGTATACGAACCACGATGCGTACTCCTTCGACGAATCTAATCCAGTCGACCACGTGAATGTTCGAAACGATTAGTTAGCTGCCCTTCGACCTACGGCCATGATCGACATGTTCGGCGCAGTGAAGCAGAGACGCAAGCGTCCCGATGCCGACTTTACGGCGACGCATTTTGTAGCGTATTCGCGAAATAATTCTCGTTATCACTAACGACGGCAGGTACAAAGTCCTGCAACGCTGTTTCAACTGCGAACTAAATTCGATGAACCGAATTCCCTCCGTTCGACGCCTCCTACTCGCCACACTTCCTCCTCCTCGTGTCCTATGCTTCGTTTATAGTTCATTCGTCTCTTTCTTCGAAGAAGAAAATCGAGGTAGAATGGGAATTGGTCGAAGAATAATATCGAGCGATGAGTCGAGGTGTTGGAGCTAAGACAAAGACGATGCGTTAAAAGAGAGGGGCTTATCCTTTAAAGTATGGCGACCGTTGAAGTAAGGTTAACCTTAACGGCCCGAATGAAAGCATACAAGAAAACCAAGTTCATGGAAGTGTTAATCCGTTTCAAAGAAACAAAGTGAAAGCTCGAAAGGGAATTTTCTACGCAGTCTAGTACGCAAAATATTTGTCTCAAGATCACGAACACTCGTGCCGAGGAAAAAACAGGAATCAATGATTCATCGTTCGATGTATTTTTAACAATTACCTACATGCGGTAAACAATCCGTTATCGCTCTCGGTTGTGTATCGTATCAATGAAAAATACAAAATCTACTGCGTCGACGAACAAAGGAACGATTCGTAAAATATGCTAACACTACGATATTTCACGACACAAGTGTCAACGAACGGGGAATTACTCTCTTCTTTCGCCGGTGCACTCGTCGAAAATATCGGAATCCGGTTATCGATCGATACGCGTTATATCGCGAATAAAGTCGATTATTTACGACCTATCGACTTGAACCATAATTTTCGAGGTTGACAAGCGAAGAATCGACGGCACGGGGCCGCGCACGCGGCTAATTTAAAAATAGCGTTCGTCACGATCGAAATGTCAGTGAACGAGATAGGGTTTACGCGTGTCCGATGTCTTGCACAATTCGAGCGGATCGATTTATTTAAAAGTACATCTTATTACCTACGCGATCGCGCAATTTCGAAATACCCTTTTCCTCTCTCGTTAATCTAACTTGGAACGTCAATACGACGATAACGATACAAATCGTCACGCATGAAAAAAGAAAAATAAAAAAGGGGGAAGAAGCGAAAAATCGTTCCACGTTCGACCGATAACGTAGTCATTAACTATTTTACGTCACCCATCCGAAGACCTTGATCTTGATTTCTTTTTAGTCACCTCCTTGCGTGAACTTTACCTCGCTTACTCTGCCGATGCTTTCGTTGATTTTAAGTCGACTTTGGAAACATATAAAAAAGAAAATAAAAAAGGAAGGACAATACCGATCGTCGGAAGTATGACTCATTCGATAGTTCCGGTGTGGATGAATCGAGAGAATGGGAAAAATCGGAAAGATACGAAGCCGAACGGAGGTACGCGTCGACGAGATATCACCGCGGGCAGAATTTCGAATTTTCTGGCATGACGGTGTTCGCGATACTGAGTCGGACCTGGCGACTTGGCAGAAAAACGCAGAGAAACCGCGGCAGTGGCCTATAGCGAGCTCTCTTTGTCACCAGTGTGTCACGTGTAAGATATTTCTTTATTTTGTACAACACCGCGGCGCCTATCTACCGTATCGCCTTATTTTCGCGGTAGGATATCTTGAATCAATTTAATTTGGCTTTAGATTACGCTTTATCTCGCTACCTTTGTTTTTCGATCGTAACTCGATGGAAAACGCGGTTACGCTCCATTTTCTTTTCGACTTTTACGAAAGCGAAGAGAAACGCCGGTTTCGCGACGAGCCAGCTCGAAATCGGCGCGAGGCGAATAAAACGGGGCACGGGTAAATTGGGACACCATGGGACATGCGTTTCCCGCGTTACGAAAAAGAGATCGTTACGCTATCACGGGGCTATCGCAATCGGGAGTATATCGCGCCATGGATGACGAGATTTTCGATTACATGTGGGAGAAACCGGGATAAACGAGCGGACGAGGAAGGGTAATTTCGAACGACGTAATCGATTGTCCGAAAAACGGTTCGAGCGATCGATAAGCGGCGCTGGATCGAGTGATCTGCGCGAAATGATATAAATCCAACCGACGTAACTCGTCGTATCATCGGACAAATCTAAATGACTCGAGTCGATCGATTCGAAAATTATCGCGCATCAAATCAAACGTACTCGAATAATCGTGTAACTCGAGCCTAAGAATCCCGAGGAACGCTGATTTCGATCTACGTAATTTCCAGATTATTACGAGTCTTACGAATGCGATAGAAGTTTCGTCATCTTGGATTTTCACTTCACGGTGACAATCGAATTTAACGGCCGATTTTTCGTACTCCGATGAACGGCATATGACCCTCGTCCGCAACCGTCGGCCATGACAGTTCACCCGTAGGAAAGGATGCCACCGTCGCGAGCAGAAAAATAAAACGAATAACGCGACGTTATCACGAGCGACTACGGGTTATCGCGCGAAACGATTGTTAAAGGTCAGCAAAATTAACCAGTCGATCCGAGTTACATATAGTATTTCCGGTTACTCGGCGCGCTCCTAGCCATCTTGGAAGTAGCTCTACACGACCCGACGTTCTTCGTTTCGCAATTATTCTATGACTATGATATCTTATTCAAAGACGATCTTCCGATTGTCCAAACCAGCGTGCTTTCACGGCCGTGGTTCCACGTTCGCACACGAGTTTCCTTACATTGCATGTGCCAGCACCTCCATATCACGTTGTTCAGTCTAATCTTGTCCTTCCATCTCAGCCTGATCCCTTTGAACCGATTCCACTTGGGCGATGTCAGTTTCTGTCTGGAACAAATTCAAGTGCCCATACGTCATACCGACTGTAAACGATTTTGTAAACCCGGTTTTCGTTGTTTATCGATAGACGTTCAACGAAACGTCGAACAACGAGAAACAAGGCATGCATATCGGGATCGATCGTAAAATCTCGCCAGGCCAAAGCTGGTTATCTTAATCCAGCGCGAACACAAGATCCAGAGGGACATGTTTGTAAGAGAGAAGACGAATTCTCTGCAAACAGCTGCAAAACTCGAGACAGCTCATAGAACGCAAACAGAGTTTTATCTGTCTTTGCGAAGTATAATTCGAGGAAGTTGTCGAACGTGCAAGTTTAACGTCGTAAAATACTCGACGGCTAATCAGCCGAGCTTTCAAGCATCCCGATAAGTTTGCCAGTCCCAATAAAGGCTAAGCCATCGTCGCTATCGCGACGTTTCCTCGAACCTTAGCAAACTTTCTTCTCGATACAGCGGCCTAAGCAAAGCTCGTTAGATCTACGGATACTCAAAGTCGGCTTGAATCCTCCGAATCTAGCTGGATCGCGTGATCTCTGAGACAGTGTCACGGGACGAGTTCCGATTCGCACGAAACGCTAAGGGATTTATGGTCGGCCAGAGCCGTGTTTGCTCGGCCACAGCAAACACTTTACCCTGTTTATTCCATCGCGGCGAACCGTTCTAAATATAAGCCGAGGAGAACGAGACCAGGGTAACCAAAATACTAGGGGGCTTTCCACGGATTTTGTGAAAACAACGATGATTCGTTGGCCGATCAAGTCGACCAGCTCGTGAGAAAAATGCGTTCCTCGATCGTGCATACCCTTCCAAGCCTCATCGCTCATCGTTCGCCAAGGATTTTCGCAGAAAATTCGCGTTTGACAAAGAGAGACTTACTCTGGAGAATGGTAAAAATAAATCGACGGATCGGCTCTCTCGGGCTCACGATTCGAATGCACACGGTTTTCGTATTCACTGCTCAGTCACGGAAGATCGTTGATAAGTAGACGAGGAATTTAATTTACTTTTATCTGATGTTTAATAATAGATCGGAGATAACGCGATACACGTTCCTTCGTTTCTCAGCGCGAATTTGATCCTTTGCTTTTTCACCGATCAATCGAGGGATCGATTAACAGTTAAAACGGCCATCTTCTCATCCGCCACGTCGATCGGAATCGTTCGAACGAAAGCAAGAGTGGTCGTCGATGATCTACGCGGTCATAGATCATGGTATTTCACGGTTACGTTAATTTCTCGGAGTAAAACTCGCGTTATCGACTGTCGCACCGATATACCGTCGTCGAAAAGCCAACAGTTAGGAATGATAGGAAGATTTCCACTAAACGTTCACGTTGCGACGAGCCTCGCTCTTCCTTTCTAGGCATTAGACTCTGACCATCCGAGTCCACTGCCAGCATTTTCATTTTTCTGATCGAACGATTAGATAAGGAGACATACGAGTGGAACGAGAGGCCAGTGACTAGTTGCTCGAAATCTTCGCGCTGTGCACGATATCGAACATTAACGCGTTACTGGCCAAACGTTTCGTTGGCAATCGTGCCCAACTGTTCCACGGTTATACCTGACTGATACACCCGTCAGATATCCCGTTACGAATTTCTAATGCGTTAGAACAATGTCTCCGAAGCGACTACATTCAAATTCCTTCGAATTTCTGCCAGAAACGTTTCGCGCGTTCGCAGAGGCTACTCGAGGTTAATTAAAATCCAAGCAGAGGAAAATAAATCTCGGCGCTGTCTGCCGGTAGATAAACGATTGCGAGACAGAAAGTCTGAATATAAAACTAGTATCTGAACTGACCATTTATCAGCCAGAGATTCCTGACCCGGAATTATCAAGTCCGACGACTCACACTTCCCAAATCGTTATCGATATGACCCTTCCCGTTTTAGAATATCTGCGCCTCTACAAAAAGCGAATAAAAATGATATTCGTTTGTTAATGATATAACCGAACACTCCCATACTCGTCACGTCCTCGGAATAAAAAAAGGGAAGAGAAAAATTAGAAATCGGAGCGTGTGTAGGCTACCATCGCGTGTATCTCTGCTCCACAGGGACCCCTCAGCCGCCTATGTAGCACACAGTTCATCATCGTCCATTAATAAAACAATTAAATCGTTATCGGGGATTGGACGAGTTTACAGAACAAACCGACGAAAGCGTGATCGCAATCGCGAAGTCACGTCGCGCGATCCAGCCACCGTATTCAGACAGAGTCTCCTCTTCTCATTCCCGCGAAATCTACCTGTTCTCTCTTCCCACTCGCGATGAATACTTCCGCGATTAATTAGCCGCGAGCGTCCCGTTATCAGATAACGATTTATTTGCTCGCCGCATTGCCGATGGCACGATCTATCAAACTGGGAGGAGCAAAGTCGATTATCATCGTTTGTCATGGAATTTGTTAAATATTTCCGTCCCGGTACCCCTCTGTCATTCCTCTCTCACGCCACACACCATCGGGGCCCGCAGCTTCGCTCGTCTCGGGATCGGAATTACGTAAATTCCCGTAATCGAGGTGACTCGGTGGTTCGGGTGGCTCCGATTAATAGAGCTGTTTACGACACACGTCGGCGACAATGATGCGACAGCGACGAGGTTCGAGGCTCTCGGAATAAAATTTGAATGTCTGAGTGGCTGATCCGGGGACTCGCAGTCGGAAGATTTCGACTCGGAAATGAGCGTTCGCGGCTCGGATCGCTTCGTGGGACGCGGTATTATCTTCGTCGTAAATAATCGCGTGTTTGCAACCGTGTTCCGTTTGATCACGCGCGTTCGGGGAAAAATTTCGAAATGCTTTCGTCGAGAAATTTATGTCCTCCACCGCGTTGCGTCACAGCCATTGTTATCGCTATCGAACGAGAGGCGCGATCATCTGATCGGCAGAGGAGAGTGCGTGGCGAGCAGAGTACAAGTTTTCCGAGGATGATCGACGCATAGCGTCGCGTCGCAACGCGATCGACGAGGATTAGCGAAAGCTCGTCGAGTAACCGCGCGTCGTCGAATTACGCGAGTCATCGGGCCCACTCGCGTGACTGCAACGCGCGTGCAGATCAGCTTCATTCAGAGGAATGTGCAACGATAATCGGGGTCCGATAAGGACACGGGAGAGGAGAGCATATGGGGAGACAGATAGGAAACGATAAGCAAATACGATGAGCGGAGATAAAGGTGGAAAAGAGATAGGGAAAACGGGGGGAAAAGTCGAGTATCGAGATTCGGGGGTAGGGAGGGGAGGAAGGTGATTGGGTGGTTGGTGGGTGAAGAGAAAATTCGCGGTGGTTAGAAGGGAAAACGCACGTCTCGTGCGCGATGGGAAGGCGAACGTGTTCGCGCGTATATTCGCGGGGAACGCAGGGCACACGCGAGCGGTGCGTCTATGCACGATGACGCAGTGGCCTTGCATGATAAAAGACACGTTGTAACACACAGGCCTTTACGGTAATTTAGCTCGATTTACTTTTTCGAGTTACGCGTGTCGCGAGAGAACGGCTGCCGTGCAACCGGAGACCCGGAGCGTTCCGCGCGATCCCTTGCACGAGGCTATTTAGGACCCTGTCTCTCCTCTCCTCGTCACCCTCTCTCGATATATATCTCTCTCTCAGTCACGGAAGTTCCGTTGCATATCGACGAAAGACACGGTTTTTTCGACGTATCCAAGTGTTAAATTTGGAAACTTGGAAACTATGCGATCCCATTTGAAAATGAAAATGAAAATGAAAAGGTCGGAACAACTCTGGATCCGTTTGGTTGTGTCGGTGTTAACGATAGATCACTTAAATATTGGATTATCAATTTTTATCTGTGCCCCGCGAGATACAATAGGCGTGAAAAATGAGCGAGCAGTAAAAATAGAAATAACCGCCCAGTTTCTATTTCACGAATCGATTAAGTCCGAACACGCGAGTGTATTTCCGGCAATGTACATAGAGCGATACATAAAGGAGGAAGAGGGAAGAAAAATGTTATTTACTCGCGTTCATTCAAGTATCGAATCGAACAATCACGATACCTGGTTGAATAATGCGAACGCGTGTGTTGGTTTACTATCGGGCCGAGCGAAGAGTCGAACGGTATCAAAGAGGAACGTCAACGAGAGTGTCGCATAACTTATCCATTGACATTTTACAGCGAGCGAATTAGGTTCGTGACAAAGCGCGGATGCAATAGGAAATCGTTGACTCGGCGCGGGAAAAAGGTCGAAGACGAGGAAGGAGTCGTAGACCGAAAGCTAAAAAATCCAGCTATTCTCTTGTCGGAACTTATGGCAATCGGGAAATACGTTCATTACCGAGAGGTCGATTGCAATTAGCATAAAATAATCACCTAACAGCGAATGTAATTACACTTCTGCCTTTTTCCTCATTCTCTTCTGAACGAGTCAGAAGTAATCGAGGAATCGATAAAATTAGGCGAATGATTGCGTTTAATCATTGCATCGAACATGGGATTTCATATCGGACCACGAATACGCAGCTGGCGAAGAAATGGTTTCTTTCTCCAACGAGGAGAAAGAGAATCGGCAATTTGACGTAACGACGACAAGGTCGTAACACGAAATTCTCTGGAATTAATGTCGGTCGAAGGATGCAATGACAACAATGACGTCACCGCGGCTTGAAACGCGGACGTAACGCAAAGTGGACAAAAGGCGCGAGATAAATGTCCCTATTCGTCACCATCGAGTAGCGATTTCTGATACGCTCCCTACCGATCTCCTCCTCGCTTGCTTACACAGCGATACATCGATCCTCCGCGTCGGTAGCAAAACACAATCGAGATAACGAGCGCTAAAAAAATTATTCTGCTTACAAAAGGTATACCTTGTACGATCGAACATTCTTCCGGCGTGTTTCTATCAGTCCTATCGGAGTTTGGAACTCGCAGGCTCAGGTCTGCGCCATTTTTAGACCGTGTTAGCCTCGATTTTCAGAAGTTTCGGCGATACCGTGTAATATCGGGCAAATTATTAGTCGAGTACCTCGATAAGATACACCGCGTTTTATCAGCCATCATAGACACTCACACAAACGAGAAGATAAGGGGCTTGTCAAAATTATTCCACCCATACACCTGATACGACTGCCGACCCAGAAGTCTATCGCCTCGATAATATAATTTTTGGATTAAAGAGAATTGAAAAAAAAAGAAAAGAAAACGAGAACGAGTATCTTTCATTCAGCCAATAGAGACCCAAGGGAACCCCTCGTCGCCATTTTTCTCTCCTTTTCTCTTTTTCTTTTAATTTCGTCTCGTTCCTCGACACGCCGAGCGCGTAGACGTAATTTACGAGCGTGTTGTTCGAGATGGACGTTTACGTTGCGTCATTATTACAATAATATCACTGTTCCACGGCTGATAAAAATATGTACGTCTTTTCACTTCGCGCGACCAATTGCAGTTCCGACATAAATCATCATCAATCGATTAACCCTTTCATCGGGAAGGCGGAACAATAACAACGAAACGCTATCCACAGAATTATGATATCAGGTTCATTTATTATCCAATCTCTAGGACAGGCTGAAATAACGACTGATCGACCAAATAGTACCTAATTATCCCGAGCATGGCCCAACTATCGGATACTAGAGTCAATTGTCTGAAAGTTCACCATTTTGCACGCCATCCTTTTGCCTTTGCGCAGTGTCTCTAAGTGGTAGACCGTGCATTGTAATTTTCCAGTTCAGTTCTGCACTACTAATTGCCCGTAATTAAGGAGTTTCGATCATTCTAACCGCAAGAAAATAGCCGTGAAGAAATCTCCGCGACGATCGTAGAAACAAAAGACCAAGAGTAATAAATGGCCACGATTTTCCTACACTTTGCTGCAAATAATTTATAGCCTCGCGTTAATTCCAAGAGGTTGTTTATTTGCTTCCCAGTTCCTAGATTTCCTATTTTTCAACGATTATCGGTTCTTGCTCGGACGATTATAAGTTACTGTGAGCGCGTGCGGAATACCACGAGAGGAAAATGGTAAGTTAAAAAGCCTCGGTTTTAGAATTTTTCACGCGTGTCCCGTTTAGGAGTTAAGGTCGTTTCCGATCGGCTAGATCGCTATGAAATATCGTGTACAATATCTGATAATTAGAGTCGCGCGATAACTACATTGTAGTCGACGATGAAACGTGAAAATTCGTTTGAACCCATTGCACTCGGTTGCCTCTCCATCGCAAATCTAGCAAACGAAACGAGTGTCCCGTGCGAGACAAAGACTAGACAAATACTATTTCTCTATAGCGAAAAAATCCTCCAATCCTGCAAAAATCTTCGAGTACGTAGAGACAATATGGTCACTCGAACGAAGCCATTACGAGGATCCTACAACCGATTTCGGTTCGACCAAAACGATCTTGCGCTCTCTTTTCCCTCTTCTGCATCGCACACGAGGATGTTGCCCCGCGAAAGCAAGATACCACGAGATTGCAGAGGAGTAACAATTTAATTAGGGATAAACAGCCGACGAAATATTTATTTATAACCAATGGGGCAGAGGTGTTCGCCGTCCGGCCGATTCGACGTTAAAAATACTCGAGCAGCGAGCACCGTTTCGCTCTTGATTACTCTGCACTCGGTACTAGACTCTCGATATCCATTGTTTTCAACGTATAGACGAATTTCAAAAAGCAGCTCTCGGTAACAAAAGAAACGAAAAAGGAGAAGAGAGAAGAAAACAACGCTAAACCGCTCGCTGTTCATTCTATCGATATAACGATCGCCAGACTAATCTTCAAAGGCTTGCATTCGCATCGGAGACGTTTTAATCCCTTATAATCGATCGACACTTGTCAAACGTGGAAAGCATCTTTTTTTGGAACTTCCCAGCGTTCGATTAATTAGTTGATTCATATGTTAGTCCGTTATTAAAAAACAAGAACGGGATAAAATCGCTTTGCTCGCGATAAAGGCTACAGATGAGTTGCTCGATATGCTGAGACCTTCTTTTATCACTTTCGCGACTTGAAATTTTCGCTGAGAAAAGATGCGAAACGATAAATGTTCGAGAAATTGACGAATGGAGGAAAATATGTCATGAAACTGCCATCAGTCATATTTTCGGTACATTCGATCCTACAGTTGATAAGACACAAGAGTGAACTGCATCCAAAAAGAGTTCAGATAATAGCATACTAATATAGGAATCTGGATTAAATACTTTCCTATATCGTTATGCTATCGTTCATCTCCTTTACACTTATACTTGATACAAATTTATGCAAAGATTTCGTCGAGACTCCAGTGTTCGAAATAAAATATTCATATTACAAAGATATTTGGAGATTTTAGAATTCGAAAATTAGATTCGAAGCAACCCCTTAATGAAACCGATCATCGACAGGAATTGAAAGAGAAAGACTCATCGATGAACGTATTATTTAACGACGAGTTAACTCGTCTTGGTGGATCGAAACGTCGAAAGGAAACGACGCGAAGGAAGCGAATGGCGGGGGTTCAAACGGTCCCGTAAAGGGAAAACGGAAATTGTCACGGAGGCGGCCTGTCGGCTTCGTCGAGGCCGAGCTTAATTGCGATGTTGTCGTTTGGTTCTACGGCCTCTTCTTCATTAATTCAATTGTCCGTTATCAGCCGGAATGCCGGCGGCACGGCATTTGTCCGGTTGCCGAGCTCGAAATACAACTGGAATCTGCGCTGCCCTACTAATCTCCCGAGGGAGCCGATTGCGAGAGGGAGCGACACGCGCCGGGTTCTTGCAAAACGCCTAGACATATTGCAATCACGGGACTGTTACGAGACGAGCGCAAGACGCTTCCCATCGTTTCTGATCAGTGGCATCATGGTATAAAGTTCGATTCTCCTTCCTCTCGGCGATGACTTCTATCACCTATGATCGATCTTCCTAATTGGCAGAGAAGCATACTCTCTGCCAGCTCCATGTGTTACTGGTATATATAGTACTGGTTACAATTATTCGGACTGTTTGATCGACCTGGAGTGACAGTATGTAAATTGAAATCGTTTGTTTATCGAGAGGCTTGTATAAATATCTTCCTGTAATTACCTTCCGTGGTTTATACAAATTTGTAATATTTCGGATTACTTCGTTGGCAGAGCAAAATTTATACGAGGATCGTATAATTATTCGAAGGATTTTGTTATTAAAATCCTTTTCAGCAACGGTATGATAAACGATGGAGCAGGAAAGGATAAGATGGTGTTTCGTGGATTCTCCTGGGCATAAGGGTCGACTTCGTATTTCAGTTACCTCTGCGCTAATCTGAGAAACTTCCTCTAAAACACCTCTCTACAAAGACAGAATAGACGATGGTTTAGTTCGAACGGGATTAGAAACTGAAATCGAATCGATGTTCCTGGTATCGCGCCATCTACAGAGCGCAACAGATTTCTCTTCGCAGTGCTAGTGACCTAACGAAACGAGCAAAAGAACAGCAGGTTGAGCGAAGGAAAACCGAGGGAAAAGAGAAACTCACCTGTACGCCAGGGACATGCATTGGAACAGCTTGTTCAAGGATGTCTCAATGCTGAGCTGCTGAGGACTCTTGTCGTTGGAGGAGATGCTGACGAATCTCTCGAGCAGTCCAGGAGGGGCGATGATCGCCACCTTGGCAGCCTCCTCGTCCGGCACAGGGACAGCGAGCTCGTCCTCGTCGTCCTGGGCCTCTGCCTCGAAGTCAGAGACCATGAAGTGGCCAGAATGTATGGTTTCGCGGGAGTCTCTGTCGTTGTTCTCCTTCCTCCCCATACCAGGACGATGGAAACTCTGGCTCGGCGTCGTCGTCATCATGGTTAACGGCTTTCTGTACATCAGTTCGGCCTGCATCCCTCTGTAGCGCCACTCTGCGGAGCACAGTCGCGTCGATACGCATTCTCACGCACATTTTTCTTTTTTAACATTTTTCTTTTCTATATTTTAATATATATTTATTTTCATTTCATCGTTTTTAACGCGACCCGTGTTTATTTTCGGTCGATTTTACGTTAGTTCTCGGTCATCAACGAAATTTACTAATGACGTCGCGAAATATCGAGGAATTTTTTGTTAGTTCAGCAACCGCAACATAGAGGCGCTCTGGATTAAGCGCACTGCCTTACTATACCGCGCCTTAGCGCGCCACCCCGCGTTACGAGTACGATACATTAGGGCTACGTTGCTGCACGGGCCAACGAGAAAAGAAACTTGGAATATATTTGGAAAGCAAGATACAAGCTGACAATTATTTTTAAACTTTGGTAAGTCGACGATACAGAACTACAGAGATGTAGAACGAGGTCGCTAACGCGGAATTTAGTGGTGTTGGTCGACCTCGTTTCACGAAATCTCTAGGCTGCGAAGTATATACGTTCAATTCCGATAGAACGAGTCCTTCCCGCCAGACACAACAAATGTCTTTATCGAACGACTGATAAGCTTAAAATCCCCTGTTCGATGGATGCCTATCTTTACGTTCATTAATATGAACTTTGTTTCCGCACGACGTATTTTCCTTCTATTCGTTAACCTCGCACACCTTGTTGTTCATTTTTCAAATTTTCTAGCTTTTGTCTCACGATACCATTTTACAGTCAACCCTTTCGTAAAACGGTTAATTATGATCTATTGACACCGTGTTAAATGAAACGCCAACACTGGAGTTATCGCGATGTTATCAGTCAAAAGGTGGAGAAAATAAAAGAGAAATTTTGGAGAAAAAATCGCGAGGTCAATTATATTTAAACGTCACGAAAACAGCTGTTGCACTTAATTCCGTGGGACAGCCTTTTCCCCGATGCGCAGATGCGGAACATGTAAACAACCTTCATACGCAGTTGAACGACCGAAGTTCGTTAAAAATGTCGTTTCGGCTTAACCGTTTCCATGAAAACGTGACTGCGCGCCAGAATTTTCAATGGTTAGTGACTTTCTCGAGAGGACCGTGGATATCCCCATGTTTAAAATTAAACACCACGTATATTTGGCGATTAATTATTATTTTTCCGCTCTACCGGCGATCAGTGGAACGCACCGTTTAATATTTGCGTAAAAATAAGTCGTAATCGATTATAATTAATTTACCTCTTTCCACGACGTTATCGTATATGAGCGTAATATTACTTTTGGGACTTTTCGTTTTACGTGCAACTAACATTTGGATTCCTACTCGTAACCAAGATCCGATGAATATTAGAAAGTTTTTGAGGTTAGGTTCCAATGACAGAATTCATTAACACATCGCGCGATAACGCGAAAGACCGATATCTAGTTACAAGTGTTGGAAAAGAATTAGATACATTTAATGCCTGCTATTATTTTCTTAGTGCACGCTTTTATCATTTGTATTAATTTGTAGAAAATATTCGGAGATTAAATTTATCCGAATAGATTATAAAAATTTGTCTGATATCTCACTGATACGATTCACGAAAATCTTACGAGGTGTAATAGGTTAACTTGGACGTTCAACGGTTCGACGATTTTAATATGCAACACGTGTTAGACACTTCTAATAAAAGTACGTGGAAACCTTCACCGGGATACATGTTACGAAAACGTCTAACGGAAATCGAAGTCCATTTCTAATAGGCATTGAACAGTCGGTATTCGATATCGTAAATTACAGGTTAATCCGTTATAACCGGTTTCGGGGATAGAAGATATTTCTTTTCGTTTATCGACCAAGTATTAACAGCTGACGATATATCTTTATAAACGCGTTGGAATTTACCAGCATTATTAACCGCGATCGATTTGGCTTTATGCAATTATGATTCCAAACGTGTTGCTTTTGGAGGAAATAAAATGTCGGAAAATGTCGATAAAAAATTCCAAAGTTAGCATAACGATCATCGTAATTTTACTAACGTTATTCACTATGCGTGTTTTCTTTTTTTTTTTTTGTTTCGTAATATGACGCAAGTGAGTTTATCGGGACGGATTTCCTTTGCAACAATTCTATTTAATAAATGATCTTAATATTCCACGACATTGTTATCTTAAAAGTGTTAATGCCCTTTCACCCCGATGTCACTTCGTATCGTATAGGTTAACCGCTTTATCCACTCGTACACGAAGGTTTTTTCCTTTCCTCGTGCTTTTAAAAATTCTGTCATATTTATAGAAAACAAAATGTTAGGCGTGCCAATATAACTACGCGAATTTTATTATCGCGAAAATGTGTTCCACACTCGTGGACTCCGTCGATAAACTAGAAGTGTAGGAAATGCGCGATCGTACGCGAGGATAACACTTTACGCCGTGACGTAATTGAAAAATACCATGCGTACTTTATCAGATGTGCCATTGTAATTCTATTTTGTTTAAACACTTGTCTTTATGTATGGAAAAGCAACATTGGTATAACTGCGTCTTTCTTTTTCTAATCTGTATCACTCACAGGCTGACAGTATCGAAGATAGAAACGATCCTAGAGTTTTTATAAGACGCCAGAACTCTTTTCAGATGGGCACACCTCAATCGCTTATGCAACCGTCAGTCGTATTTAGGAACTCGCCGCGGCGCAAACAAAAACATTCTGCTTCGCCCACACGTGCGCGTGGCCACGAGAAACGTGTTTTTTAGCTGGGAAAAACATGGCCGTTCTGATTACGCGATAACAACGGCATATTCAAATAGTCTGTCAGAATAACAACATTACAAAAACTTCCACCAAAGACGATAAGAAAATTTCTAATCATTGTAAAAGATAAACAGAATTCACGATTGCAGATTTACGCATTAAACGATAAAATATACAACGTATGGGAGTTCTTCGAATTACGTTTAAATAATAGGAATTTTTAGTATTTTAGCTCTGTGAAAATATACACAAGACAAAATATAGTATTTCAGAGCATCACGATAGATTTGGCAATGATACACGCATGGCACCTGTCACGATTTAGTATGATCCGAATCGAACGAGGAAACTACTGCGCGTATATATTGCTCGTTTCTTTTCATCCTACTTAAGCTATCCTGCTTTAAAAGATGCTTGGTAATCAGCTTCGAAGTATTGTCTTTATCTTACTGCACTAGAGATCGTATCGCGCGCTTCTTATACTACGTTACAACTCATAAAATCTTTCCGCATTGAAACGATGTGAGCGAAAAGACTGTAGAGTATAGATTCGTCGTTTATTTAGAAAAAATCTGTCGATGATCGAGAACGCGTCTGTAACGTCTGCTATATAATTGTATGCATTTATTTCGCGAATTACAAGCATGTATGCGTAAGACGGCACTTCTCGTAGGGGTCACAGTTCTTATTGTCGACTTTTTTCCTATCTGACACTCACCTCTCCTCACTGCGTGTCACCACTCGTCGTTGATACGTACACACCGTTGCAACTTGACGACGAAATTTAACGATCCCTTGTATTAATTTTCCTTCGATCTCGACCAATATCGTCACACTCACGCTCGCCGTCAGGCTGGGCCGCGCGGCGCCGCGCCCGGACGAGGCCCGTACGCGTTATTAGACGGCATACGCTCGCTCATACTGGCAGTGACGCCATTTGCACGAATCCGCGTCTACGACGGACGACTGGCGACTCTGTGTCACACAGCTGACATGGGCGCGCTTATTTTGACCAATCACAAACGAGCGTCGAGCGTAGCGCTGCTTCTCAATATTCAAACAAATATTCCTATATTTTATTTTGTACTTCCGCTTTTTTTAAAATTGCCGCGGTATTTTCTCAAAATATTTACCGACATTAAATAAAACGATGAAAATGGAATGTTAAAGACTATCGATAATCTTTATATTAAAATACTGTAATGATGTTCATTTTAATCTAATCAAAATAAAAGCATCGATAGAATTCAACGAGGATATAAAATACGAGGAAATTGTTTATTTACATTTTCCATAATATTATTAATAAATTACAGGAATTTAGAGTAAACGATTTGAAAAACAATTGTGACATTTCATAATATATAACATTATAAGCAAACATGTTTATTACTTTATTGCAATTGCAATTGAAATCGACATAAGTATTATTATATTTATTTCTATATGTGCAATATAAATCAAAATACCATTTTTTTAATATTCTATAACATTTTTTATGTAAATGGTACGTAATTTTCCAAAAGATGGTTTTATGTACATTATGATGAAATTATTTAAAGATCAAATATAATAGAAATTTCTTTAACGCTTTTTTACCCAATTTATTTCAAATGATATATTGGAAATTTAATTTATTTTATAGAAAATTATTAAAAAATGATATGCTCAATCGATAACGTTGGAAGCCACATTAAAATGGTAATTTTTTGCGTGCATCCATCTTTATACCATAAAAATGTATTAAATGTTAGCTGTATTTCATTTCTTTTTTTTCATTTCTGATGCTACGTAGATAAGTTCATAGTACTACATATGGTTGCCATATACTTAAGACTTGAAGTTTGTAGAAATATGTAAGGGTCTAAAGGTTATATTTTTTGCCCTGTACAGTGATGTGTAATGCTATGTAATATAATATATGCAGTATCACTGTGTTCTTATGTATTTTGATTGCTCATAATTAACATTAAAATAAAAAATTACTTAGCTTCGTAGTGACCATCATATATAAATATCTAAAAATATGACAGAAGATACATTAAAAGGTTGGCATCTTATATGGTGGTTATTTAAATTGTTTGGTTTTCCAATTGCTATTCCATGGTTGATATATCATTTCTTTGATATAATGCAACTGAAAAAGAGGAAACGTGCGCTGAGTGGGAAGGTAAATTAAGTTTTATTTAAAATAGTATTTTGTAAATTTGGAAAGTAATCACTTCTAATTTGAACTTAAATTTTAGGTTGTAATGATAACTGGGGCCAGTTCTGGCTTAGGAGAAGCTTTAGCACATGCTTTTTATGTTTGCGGTTGTAAAATTATTTTAATTTCTAGAAGAAAAGAAGAATTGGAAATACTTTAATCAATACTCATGTTGTATGTTTATATTTATTAAGAAAATCTATTCTGTGGACTATTACTAATTATATTTGATTTAATTTTAGACAGTATCAACTCATCCACCTGTAGTTTTACCATTAGATATAACTGAAATTAATTCTTTACAAAATGAAGTTGCAAAAATAATAGATACTCATGGAAAAATTGATATTTTAATTAATAATGCTGGTATTACGTATAGAGGTCAAGTTGTTAATACCAAAGTGGATGTAGATATAAAAGTAATGCTTACAAATTATTTTGCTCAAATTGCTTTGGCAAAAGGTAATTATTTAATCTTAATCTTGTGAAATTTACTTAATTTTATATTAAAAAGATTTGATTTTACAGCTGTTCTCCCATATATGGTAAAACAACAATCAGGTCATATAGTATGTGTTAGCAGTATACAAGGCAAAATTGCAATCCCATACAGGTTGGAATATTTTATATTGATAAAATAGTTTTTCCATCAAGTCATTTCTTACAAAATTTTAATTTTTATGATTAATGTGTCAGGTCTGCATATGCAGCTTCTAAAAGTGCATTACAAGCATGGTGTGATATCTGTAGAGCTGAATTGTATGATCAGAATATAAAAGTTACAATTGTTAGTCCAGGTTATATAAGAACTTCTCTCTCTTTAAATGCATTAACAGAAAATGGACAAATTTATGGTGGTTTGTATCCAAGAAATTTAATAACACTTAGTAAGAGATAATTGCATATACATAGAATAATGTTTTTACAGTAATGGATAAAGCCACACAAGAGGGATATTCTCCTGAATATGTAGCGGATTGTATTTTAAAAGCTGTATTAAAAGAAGAAAAGGATGTAACAATAGCACCCTTTACTCCAAAATTTGCAATGTATTTACGCACTTTATGCCCTTCATTATACTTTTGGGCAATGCAAAAACGTGCTAAAAAGACAGCAAAGGAATCATAATGAATCATTCACTTGATATATAATGAGAATAGATAGGATATATTGTAATATAATTATTTGTTACTTGTCATTTGTACAAAATATTTTGTTTCTATTTGTGTCTATATGGTGATCTTTGTTATTATTTCATTGTAATTAAAATTACGTGTATATTACAATAAATTTTATTTTATATCAATTCGGTGATATTTTTAAAAAGAGGATAACATTATGAAATACACTAGAGAAAATTATATCCAAACTATATTTTATTATTATGCCACTCAGTAGTGGAATATGTTTACATTATATACATTTTAATACTACAAACATTTTAATGGAATTGAGATTGAAGCACATTAAAATATATGTGTGTCATCTAAAACTTAAAAAGTTATGGAATATATAACAATAGGTAGTTGAAATTTTGTCATTCTTAAATACGATAAATTTTTTAAAATATAAACATGCTGAAAATGAAGATATTTGTGTCAATTTGGCATAAAAAAAATAAATGCTTGAAAATGCAGAAGGATGGAAACGTTTTAAGTCATAAATGACACAGAACAATGAATTTATCTAACACACCATTCATCAAAAGTTTAGCTTTATCCATAATCGATATTTTATTGCATTTCCTCTCATATATTATAAATATATAATCAGCTGTATTATTACAAATATTTGGCTAATAACAGAAATATTTAAAGTATGATGTATAATGTACAGTGATTGATACGAAATTTGTTGTCATGGCAGGATTATCAACACTTATTTAAGCTTTCGTTATTTATCACTGATGTTTTGTAGATTTTAATTTAATTTTTTATATTATGATTACAGTAGAAACTAACTGGTTTTAATATAATTAAAAGAGAAATGTACACAAACACACGCTTTTACACATATGCATAGAAAATTATGTGTGTGTATTATGGATAAAATATAAGCAATGTATAATAATTATAGAGATAAATTTTATTTCGGGTTTATAGGTAAAAAAAACATTATGCAAAGACAGTTAAACTCTTATATTCTATATGAAATATTTGAGCTGCTGATTTTATTTTCTATCATTTTTATTTTATGTTATAGACTTTCTTAATAGCAAAACTAAATAGATAAATATTAGGAAACACGCACGGGGTGATGTAAATTTGATATCTTTTTTATGCTAAAAAGAAAAAAAATAGAAGATAAATAGTACTTAATGTTTCTGAAGTCGTTGATTTTCTTACTTATGATGTGAATATCAACTAACTTTTGTGTTATGTCTGGTATATGTAGTTATACAATAATAATTGTAGAAGATGTTGCTACATTTTGTTTATATATACAAGTAGTTGTACGAATTTCTTGATATATTATGGGACACAAAATTTTTCTAAAACTTTCCCACATTATGTTACGTAATATTTATTATTATCATTCACTTACAGGAATGTTTGTGATGTTTATTTTTGATATCCCATGTGTTTGTATATAGCATGATAAGAGTCTTATATAATCAATAAAAGTTCTGTGTATTATGCTAATTAAGAAGTTTGCCAAATAATATTAAGATCAAAGTTATATGTTTTTAAAAAAAGTTTTTCATGAATATTAATATTTTTCATAGTACAGTGGGCTATATCATTGGGTGAGAAAATCTAGGCAACATTCCCTTTAGTATATCATATGCAGTGTATTCTATCTACTTTATTTACAATCTAAAAATATATAGTTCTAAATCCAACTTTCCAGGTGTATGGTTGTAATTTTGCATAAATCTAAGAACACTTATATCAGTAGTTGTATCACTCAAGTGATAATGTGAATATGACCGTGTCTTTTTTATGTTGATATTAATTACGATGTAATCAATAAGATGGAGATCATAGAGTAACAATGTGGAGCTTTAAAAAACACCATACTTTGAATTGAAAATATTCTTAGAACAAGCTTTTCTTAATCTGTCTTGTTATTTACTTTCCTTTTCATTGCAAAATCAGCATCCACCTATGAGGTAGTGTTAAAACATAAAAGAAGTATAAACATCAAACAAAAATAGATTTGTGTGACTCAACAATCTCCACTAATATATATGAAATTGTAATTCACAGATTTCTATGAGAGGCCTTATTACGATCATTTACAACATATCGTATGGCCTACCTTACTGCTTTCTACAATTCAGATTCTTTCTTTCTTGACTGTAAATATTTCACTTAAATGCTTGATAAACTCTCCAGGCACTGATGCTGAGTGCTACCAATGTTATAGTAGTGTGAAGGATTCTTCTTCTCGTATCATCCTTTCTTACAAGAAATGTTGGAAGTGATGGTCCTAAAGCAGCTAAAAGTTTATGTGGTAGCTTGCTTGTGTCAGTCTCTACTTGATATTGGCAACAAGGATCAAACTGCCAAGAAACAGTATAAAGTCCACAGGATATTACAGATATAAAACCTAATGGGCCACAAATATAGGGCTGGTCTCCCCAAATTAGACCTGTGAAATATATAATATATTTGAAATAAATAATTAAGAGATGAAACATAAAGTACAAGTTTTAGAAACCTGTGGTTATCGCAGCAAGACCAGACAGGGCTGCAGTCTTATGAAGACAATTTCCTACTGCTATCCATCTGGAGGTCTCATCACCTAATTTTGATGGTTCAATAACAATTAAACTGCATTCAGATTCTAATGCTCTTTCTAACTCATATTCGAATGTTTCATGTGCATTTTCATTATCGTATACTTCTTTAATGATGGCAACATTTGAGGAATCATCCCTGAAAGAAATTCATACTTAATTGTCATAAATATTTTATAACATCTATATAAATTACAATTACAATAAAGTACAAACATATTTATTTCAAAATGATGATTATTTCTAACATTTTTAACACCAAAATATGCAAGTCTTATGTATATTTTTGGAAATCTAAAATGTATTATCACATATCAGTTGTCTAATATAAATAAAACTTTATGATCCTTATCAGAAATTAATTCTTTTGTGTGTTATATAAGATGTTGATTAGAAGTGATCAGCGTCTCATTTGTTTGAATACAAACAAAGTTGTAATAAAAACAACAATCTCATACCTGATATTATACGCTTAAACTGCATTTTATGTTTAAATTGAGTTGTAATAAAATTGGATAAATTAATATGGGTTTTAATAATTGGAAAATCTTACTAGAACTGACAGGAGATGTAAAAATTCTATATAAAGAATTGTCATAATACATAAAAATAATAAATTTTCATTATGAAATTATTTCTCGTTTTATCTTGAAATGGAAATTTACGGATTAGTAAAACATTCATGGACATCTAGCAGAGATTATGGAAGATTAATTTCTTGACTTCCAGGGAATGGATAGGGAGGTTAATTTTATTTCAAAGTATTATACCATTTTATTATGTGACCGTATGAGCATCGAAGCTAGTTGAAAGTATTAGTTTCTTATAAAAAGCCGAAAATAATTTAGCCTACGAACCTGTCACCAGCTTCATCTACCATCTTTACAGTCAGTCTTCCAAACACTGGAACGTTGGTCTGGATGAACCGGAAAAGGAATCTCGAACACCGAACCGGATGTAAAAATCAGCTGATTTGATTTAAGCATTCGCATGAGTCAAGTCGTACTTTGTATCTTGAATTTATCCACAAACGTTTCTTTATAAAATGGAAGTTCTTTGATCGGTGACCGAATATTTAAACGCGTTTACAAAGGTGTAATAGTTGCATTATTCGTTATTCAGGTATGTATAATAATCAAATACAATCAAATATAATAATAATCAAGTACAATCGCGAGAATATTTTTCATTCCATCGCTTTTTATATTTATACACGAATTTTAGTATGCCCTGTTGCAAAGTATACTAGAAACATCTTTCTAGTAGATATTCTTTTAAAATTTTGTACATCAGGGATAAATAAATGGTAGTATTAAATTTATTACAACTGTGATGGTTAATTTGGAAAGATTGAATAATCGTTATATTAATTGACAAAAGCTATCGTACATATCGAACTATTTCTCGAAATGCATTTCCTTCGATTTCATGCAAATAGTCAATATCCGTCGTGAATCGTACGTTACTTTGTCATTTTTACAATATTCATCGTTTATTTAAAATGTCTCGGATTCGTTAAAGCTTTACTCTAATAAAGAAACACGCTCGTCGATATTTTTTTCTAGAATATTAACGTGTTCCTTCGTTATGCAAGTGAATCGATAAAAAAGTTAAAAAGCGGTGGCGAAAAAATATATGATTATTGTTTCGTGACAGTCGAAAAAATGAAATAAAAAAGAAACACGAAGTCATTAGTTGAAATTCTTACGCCGGCGCTATATTCCAGCGGTAGAAGGAGGGACTAGTTTGGCGCTGGCGTAGTATCATACCCGAGAGGGCGTGCTACGGTCGATCGAGCGAGAGTGAGCGCTGCCGACGGCATAGAGGCCGAGTTAAACGGGCCAGATCGCAGATGGACGTCCGCGGGAGCGTTCTGTCATGGAGAGCACAACGCGACGTGTCGTAAGTGTGCTCAAGTGTCGTCGTCGTCGTGGTCGTTGCCGTAGTGGTCGCGTGTGTAGTATTTCGGGCCATATCGCGGGATTATCACAGTGACAGTCGACAGAGTTAGGCGTGTGCAAGGATCGTGGTGCTCGTGGTGCTACTATCGGTATATCGTGAACTGTGGCAATCGAATAATTACATCGTAGCCACGTCTCTACGTATCAAAGGCGAGTTTTCAGGGGCAAAAGAGAAGTGGTCTTTCGTGGATCAAGCAACCGCACACACAGGTGTGGTTAACGTTCGATTCGTCGAACAATCGACAGATCGGCCAACGGTGCTGTGACATGTTAACTACGGTGCATGCCATTGTGTCTAATAATAGATTCGTGTGATTCGGAGTGCCGCGTATAATCCACGTGCTCGCACGAGAACAGCGTACGGTATTGGAGGAAAACATTGTCAACAAGTCCATTGGACCGTGAGGGTGAACGAGGACGGGGGCTAGTCACCTGCTATATCGCATCCGGACAAACGTTTCGTCGAATCGAGTCAATATCGAGGACGGTACGCGAGCGTGTTGCCGCGTGACATAAACGCATTGTAAACACACAAGCACGAGACGCACTCGTTTGTACATATTACGAAATTCGAACGGAGTCGAGCACGTACATTCTTCGTGGAGCGTATGTAAACAACGAGCAGAGAAGCGTATCGGAGTTTCTTCCGGTTACGGGCGACCATCACGAGCGTAATACTATTCATACATTGGCGCGGATTCGCACACTTTGCCGTTGGAATAGCAAGCGACGCTTCGATACACGGTCGATCTTGGATCGTGTCACGAACTCGGTTGCACCGTGCAAGCGAAATCGACTGCGACTGCAGCAAACCGGGAACATATCGTTGCCGGCCGATTGCTCGATAAGTGGTGATCCTCGTGCGAAACGAGAATACGAAATCCTGTTAACTCGATCCGTTAACGTAACGGACACACGGAGAGTGGCCGCGGGGACTGACTCGTCTCGCTGGTGGCGCGTCTGCGTAAACGAAATCGCGCGTAAATAAAACTGTTCCGTGGCGACGAGGAACTGTGTCGAAGTTGGTGCGTAGTATACCGGTCGCACGGAATCGGTGCGTTCTCGCTGTGGAACGGCGGCGGTAAACGGTGACGAAGAAAAAAAGGGGGCGAGAGACGAACGATGCTGCTGTCCGGTCGTCGCGGTTAATTCGCACGTGTCGCGATGTCGGGCGGCACGGCGGGCGTCCGTGGCACCGGCGCCGAGTGCAGGAAGTTCGCGCCGAACATATTCAACAAGAGCAAGTGCAGCAACTGCTTCAAGCAGAAGGAGGAGCACAGCGCGGAGGCTCTGGAATGCAACAGGGTGAGTTTTGCTTGATGGACTCTCTGTCTCTCTTTCCTTCTCTCTGCTCCTTCCTCGCATGCGTCTTTCTCGCTTGCGCGCGCAGTCTCTTTCCC